TAATGAAAGATATAATGAAAGCGTTTTACGATATGTTGAGGTACATTGAATTTAGAATTAGGTACATTGGTTCATTTCCAAAACCCTTCTTTTCCATGGCTCAACTTCAACCGTGGGTGGAACCGACTCCACTAAACCCTATGCTCTTTCATCTTTTATTCCTTTTCATCTCACGCCTTTTCATTTTTTTTCATTCGTCTATTACGTGTTCTAATTTATCTTTTGCCTCTTTTCTTTTGCATGTTTTCGGTCAGAACTAAAAATTTGATTTTGGTCGATTTCTTTTTTTCCGTTCACCCGTATCTTTCTTCTTCTCTCAGCTACAGATAGCGTCTCATTTTTATATTTTTTGATTTGTTTATTATTATTATTTTGCTGTCTTCTTTTTGTTCATTTTTTTTCTAATTCTTGAATCTCCCACCTCCCGTAATTGATTGTTCCCTATTCTTTTCATACCCTTTTTTATTCGTTCTTGATCTCTTATCTGTTTTTTTGTCCCCTTTCATTCCTCGTTTGCCACTTTTTGTCTTCCATCTTTCACCTCGTCTTTTGTCGCTCTTGATTCTTCTCTTGTCTTACATCTCTGCTTTCGCAATTTCGTCTTTTCTAATTCCCCTATCATTTATTGCCTCTCTTTCTTCATCTGTAACCTCCCCCAATTTCTTCTCTTTCACGATTTACCTTTCTGGATTCATCTTTTCCAGACACGTAAAACGGTACCAAAAGTAAGAAGAAGTAGCGTATACTTTTGTGGTAGTCCGCTGTACCTTTTAAAATCCTTTGACCTTTGACTTGTCCTATATCCGTTTAGGATCTTTTGGATAAATATATTATTATTATTGTTATAAATAATCAAAGACTTTAAGGCCTGTTTCAATGCCGAACGACCCGAAGGCATGGGAATGTCACAATTTTAAAACTAGGCACAAACCTAGGTAGAATAAAGATCGGATGGGGTAAATCATGCCTAGGTTTGTGACAAACTTGTATTCGGCTTGCTCGGCACTGCTTTTAAGCTACCACTTTTTAGTGGAAATTTATTTAGAGTGCGAGTTCGGCACAAACCTAGACAGAGTAGAGGTTTCATGGGGTAAATCAAACCTCTACTCTGCCAAGGTTTGCTTTTAAAACTATCACTTTTATGTGGAAGTTTATTTTGAGACCTATTTTAATGCCGAAACGAGACCACGGCTTGCAAAAATGACAGTGCCGAGCGAGCCGAAGGCGGTTTGGCACAAACCTAGGTAGAGTAAAGGTCCGATGGGGTAAATCATACTTTTATTCTGCCTAGGTCTTAAAACTATCACTTTTACGTGGAAGTTTAATTAGAGCCCTATTCAAATGTCGAACGAGCCGAAGGTTTATAAAAAGGACAATTTCAAAAACCAGTGCCGAGCGAGCCGATGGCCAGTTCTGCACAAACCTTGGCGGAGTAGTGGTCTGATGGAGTAATTCACACCTCTACTCACCATAGGCACTGGATTTAAAACTATCACTTTGACATGGGAGTTTCATTAGAGCCCTATTTAAATCCCGAATATGCCTAAGGGTTGTAAAAAGGATAATTTTAAAACCATTACACAAACCTTGGCATAGTAGAGGTATGCCTTAGATCAATTGAAAAATAAACTTTCCTGAAGGATTATAGCCTGAAAACCTGATAGAAATGAGAAAAATTACGCTAATTTGATTATATTAAAATGTACAGCGGAGAAACTGCCAAAAAGTATGGCAAAGATTTGTCTCTAAAATGAATAGAATTCTCTTCCGCTTCTTATTTTCACCTCTCGTCTCTCGTTTTTCCTTTTTCGTCTCACTTCTTCCCTCGCTCAGCTCCATCCTCACGTGTTTTATTTTTTCTGGTTCGTGTAACATGTTTCGTCATTATTCTGTGGTCTCACGTTCCTTTTTTGCTATCGCATTTCTTGTTTTTTTTTCTCGTTTCTCATCCTTTGCTCCCCGTTTTTTGTTTCTCGCATTTTGTCTCTTCATATCTTTTGCCATTCTTGATTCTTATATAGTCTTGCCTATCGCTTCTCATGTTTCGTTTACCGCCTTATTTAATTCGTCGTTTGTTTTTCGTCCGTAATCTTTTTCTATGCATAACCTGGTCACTCATCTCTCCTTTCGCATTTTTCTTTTCGCATCTTGTATCGTCTATCCTTTCCTAAAATGGAATGGCATAATTGAAGTATCGCCTATCGTTTCTCCCTGTTCCCTGTCTCTCCATTTCATTCGCACAAGTATCATCTTTACTGATTCGTCTTTCACCTTTTGGCTTTCGTCCTTTCGCCCATCATAGTTTGTCTTTCTTCATTAATTTCACGTATTTCCCCCTTGTTCTTGACGTTTCATATTTCGTCTGTCGTTTGTTTAGTGCATTTTTCCTAAAATAAAATGCGTTATTTTCGTTCATCCGTGTGAGGGACGAGATCTCGGCACTTGAAAATTCGTTGGTATCTCGTTTGATAGATATAGGTCTCCTATCAGTGCAGTAAGAATTGTTTTTTATTCCTACTTACTTCAGGATGATGCTCAAAAATGGGCAGAATGTTTATTTATAATAGCAAATCACATGAACTAACTTTTTTGCTCTTCGTGTCATAATCTCGTTTTGGTTAAGTTGGTAGAGCAAAATCTTCTCATTTATTCTAAATTTTCGTCGCCAAATACAGGGTGAGTCAATAAATTAATCGATATGATTTTCGTTTTGGACGAGATGTAAATTACATATAACTTATTTAAGATATTAATATAAAACTCAGGAAAACCAAGATAATTCGAAAACTATCAGAGATAGGTATTGGACATTATTATCAAAAGTTGAAGGTTTTTGGAGGAGCTAAATGATGACAGAAAAATATACAGGGTGTTCCATTTAAAAAAAGTGATTCTTTTAAATATGAAGTTCTGCAACTTTGGACCTACCAAAAAAAAACACCCTGTAAGTTATATTTTTAATGTTTCATAGGAGATGTATTTATTTGACTTTTACTTAACCCAGGATAAAAGGTATAAAACCTGGAATCAAAATGTAAGTAATGGGGGGTGGGGGGGGGGACTAGTTTTATCCTTCATGGTACTCTAATGAAAGGTCTCAACGAAAGGAATTGATTTCTACCAACCATAGCCCTCCTTCTCGACCTCGTATCGTGATCGGGTCTATTCCCTTATACCTCAAGAACGGATTGTCGGAAGAGGGTACTCACAAAGGGCGATTAAGACGTCTGCAAGAAATATATCCATTAGTGATGTAAAACAAAAGCTATTTCGGTTAAAAAATGCGCTTTCACAATTTATACTTGTTTCATTCTCATATTCTTTTCTTTTCTTCCCGTTTCCCATGCTTTGTCTATTATATTTCGTGGTTCTTCTCATGTGTTTCACATCTGCCCTCTTTTGCTAATGAATCTATGGTCTTTTCCATCTCCCTTTTTTACTTTACAATCGTCTCTCGTTTTTGTACTTCCTTTCCCCGGATGTATTTGTCTCATATAGACCCGAAAATCGGATTGAAATTGCAATCGGAACCATTGTAATATACACATTATACTATAATACATGGTCAGCTTAGTGAATTTGTACTTATTGTGATTACTATGATTTTCTTCACGAAACTGACCGTGATTTTTGACACTAAGCATCATGGCAGGTGATGGCTAATGGTAAATTAATTCTTAATTGAAGAGCCCAGTATTTTATGATTTAAAAACGTTCAGCGGAAGTGTTCCGCTCGAACTGGCGACAAATTGCTTTAACGAACCTACAACTTTATTTTTTAACAAAAACCAAATTAATTCGCTTTGTTCTATAAATTCGAATTGGATAAACGAATTTCGCAATTAATTGCCAAAGCGCTGCACTATGCGAAATTATTTTCGTTTGAACGTAATTGTGTAAATAATGGATTGCATCTGTGGGATATTTTAACCGTTTCGAAATTGCTTTCTCATCGCGTTATACATTTATAGACCGATCGCGGTACGACTTTAGAATTTCAAGTAAATCTTACTTCCACAATGGGAGAAGTAAATGGGATAGTTCCTCGATTATTAGTGGAAATCGGATGAGACTTGCCGTCAGCAAATCACATAAACTTGTTCTTGCGATTTCTATGATTTTTTGGTCAATGTGAGAAGGTTCGACGAAAGCTCCAGGAAAAAGGGGCATTCTTTATTGTTTGAACGAGACAAACCATAAAAGTTACAGTTTGTTCGATGACAACGTACGAGCGGACAAAAGGCAGTAATGATGGATCTGTAAGGTTTCATTACACTTCAACTTGGAGGCGGTTCTTTTCACGATTTTGAAAAGTTTAGCTGTGATCCGATGTCTTTGGTAGTCTAGCACGTCCGAATGGGGCTTGTCGTAAAGTTTGGTATCGGTTACAGCAAGTTTAAAATGATTTTTCTTACGTATTTTCTTAAAATATTATCTTTAAACTCATTAAATTTTCATCCCTGCTATTCTCGACACGTTTCCATAAAATTTTACGCGTTATCCACTTTCCGCTCCGTCTTTTTGAGTCCATCTCCAGTTAAAGTGCCATAGCGGAATAGGAAACTAATCACGTAGCTCTGCATTGCGCTAGTAACCATCTTAATCACTCATTCATATTAACTATAAATGAAATTTCTAGCCTATTAACGATTACGAACATCTGCGCTTCGTCGCTGTTTCTTGTGGATTAATCGTTTAAAGCTCTAATTAAAAATCGCAATTGAAAAGTTCACTGAGATTGGAAGATTTATCATATTTCCATTGTAGAATTACAATCCCAAACACCGTCATTCGAAAGAAATTGGATTACGCTGTGTTTTCACCCTCTCGTTCAAATATTTGTCGCGAAGATTATGGAGAAAGCTTCCACGAATCGAGCTTTTTTCACACTCGCTTTTAATTGCCGTTAATATAGCGGATTTGCACTTGTTACGCGGAGGAGGATTGAGGGAAAACAAAAGATGGTTTTTCATAATTTATTGGAGATTCGTGATACTTACCGGCAGCCATTTTACTGCTCTTTTCCAAACTATCGGGCACTAATTTTACGTCAAAACATGCTTTATAATCGCGCGCTCTGCATCATCACTGCTTTTCTCATGGTCTAACCTGACTGGCGGAAAATGAAGGGATGATTTTCGAGAGCACTGGGTATGATCTCAATTTTGAAGTGGGCGGATCTGTAAATCCGTTTAAATTTCGCGTCAAGTCAAACATACGCACAGAAAATCTCATAAATATACAGATTCTATGAATATCTGATTTTGTATGTATCGAAGCACGTGCTGCTCTAACGAATTTTGAATAACCCTCACTGCCTTTAAAGCGAAAAGTTTAAAGGTTTTGAAGCTGCAAAGAAGACGATTCGAACAAAAACAGCTAAACTTTGCAAGCAAATGTTGTCAAACTGCAAAGATGTTTTAGTAAACTTCAAAGTCAGATATTCAGTTTTTTGCGTTCTGTTTGAAGGCACTTAAACTGCATTACTTGGTTTTCTTTTCGGTCCTGTTTCTCCACAGTAATGCTCATTTAAATTTGATTCGATCGAAGGTAACCGTACGAGTTTGTAGCGTCTAAATACCGAATCCGATTTTAATGCTAATTGGTGGATTATTTTAAATCATCGGTAACTTCCTTAAAAATTGAGAGTACATTCAATGCAATCGTATGAGTTGGTAGGGTCAGAATAAGCAAATCGTTTGTTTTTTGCTTCAAGAAGGCCAACGCCTAAAATTCGAAACTTTTTGAGATTAAAAGCAAACTTAATCGTGCATTGTTTAGAAAAGACATCGAAAAAAGCAGTGTTTTGCAACTCACAACTTTTTTATCTAGCACTTTATTAAGACAATCACATTTCGTAGGTGCTTAAGATTAATAGTGTACGAGAACGTTTACGTACGGTAATTTTAAGCGCGCTTTAGCATCTATTTTGCACGAAGTTCGCGACAAGACTGCAGGGATGCTGTAATGTGCAACTTCTATCGCAATTCTCATTCTCCAGGGATGAATACATGAAGGTGCGCTCATATATGTTTCATTTGGTAAAAAGTTTTATTTGCGGCTGCCATTCCAACTTTAATCCCATGCGGTTGTTTCTTAAATCGGAAAAGTATTTTTCTTCAATGGGGGCGAAATTGATGGGACAAACTTTCCCTCGAGGTCGATCTTCGAGTCGTGCGATTTTTTTTTCTTCCGAATACTTACGAATTTATTTAAGATTCCCCGTTAGACGAGCGCGTTTGCAATTAGTTGCGCCTTTTTTTCCTGGCCGTTTTCCAAAGCGGGCTCGGATGTTATCCTTGAGCGTATCCTGTAAATTATTACGCGTTGTGTAATCTCAAATTAATGCAACTAGATTATTTTTTATTCACATCGGCTGGACGTTGGCCCCCCTACTTTTTTTAAGGGTAACGGGCGCTTATCTCCAATTCCAGCGGTGTGCCACTTGTTGTAAGGCGACACATTCGTAAATAAACATTTATTGAATTTTATGGGAATCGTTTCTTTTTATTGAAAGTAGAAGTGCCATTATTCCACCACTAATATAAGAGTCGAAAGCTACGATTCTTCCGAAATAGGATTTGTAATCTCAGACGGCTGTCTTTTTGTTGCGACTAGAATTGAATCAGTATCTTTCTGGCTCTGACTAGGGGTGGGGGTATGATACTGTACATTAATCTTCAATAATGCAATAGCTAAACAGCTAACCGCGTCATAGACCTCAAATTTTGCCATAAGTGTACCTTGACTGTGAAAATATCCGTGAAAGTCGCTGGCTGTATGGCGGGGTGGTTTCTCGAAGCCGACGGACGAACTCTCTTTTTGGTTCGATGACGTGGAGTAAAGTTGTATGATCAAATTTCCTTTTACTCTGCGTTCGGCATTCAGCTTACAAATAGAACACATGACTTCGTTAGTAGGCGCTATTACCCTTTTCGTCTGTTTCTTTGAATTTTTCTTTTCTTTTGTTTCTTTATCGGGTCCTTCGATGTCTTCTCATTTTTAATTTTCTTTGAACGTTTCAATTCTTATAATTCATCTAATTTTTCTTTGTATTTTTTTTTCATTCGTCAAATTCTTTCGATTCTTCAATGTCTTTTTAGAGATGTTTGGTTCATCAAAATTGCTCATTTCTTCGTATTTGTACATATCTTACAATACTTTAGGCCGTCCAAGTTCTTCTTCGGACTTTCAGCTTGTCTTCAAATCCATGAAATCCTATTTGTTTGTGCGACATTCACCATGATCTTTATCTCAAATATCAGCCGTGCTTCGAAGTTTATGTCACAGTGAAAATGTCACGTTACACCTGCTCTCTATTTTTTATGCATACAATGTAACTTGCAGTTTGTCGACAATTTAATTTTGTTTTTTTTTTTAAATATGAATTTATTTATTTTGTTGTTGTTTAGTTATGTTAAGATTTTGAGTTTTTTGTTGTGTTTCTTTCTTTTTCTTTTTTCTTATTACACTAAATAATTGCGTGTTAACTATTATGTATTGTCCTGTAATTGGAATGTCTGTTCTGTTGGGCAATAAATCTCTATTATTATTATTATTGACTTGGAATGTCTTTTTTTTCTCGTTATTTCGATTGGTCTCATTCGTTTTCCTTCTTCAGATCCTTTAGACCTTTCGAATAGTTTGGAAGCTTTAGATTCTCCACATTTTTCGAATTTTTTGGTTCGTTCACGTCCTTTAAATTCTTCCATCTCTGTGCCGTTTTCAGAACCTTTCAATTCTTCGATCTCTTCAGACCTAAGATTTTTCAATTCTTCTACGTTCACAGCTTTTCTCATTCCCAAGATTTTTAAACTTCTTTGAAATCTTCCCTTTCAATTCCTGACATTCTTTAGGTTCTGTAGGTCCTTCATACTGTGCCTATCAGCCAAATGGTTCTCTTCGAATTCTGGTGATTTTTAGCGCATTTTCCAACTCATGTTGAAAGGCGCTATTACTGCCACTTTCTCCTTTCGAGCCCATTACTATTCCTACAGTTTTCAGGATATTTAGTTCGTTCTTTTTGCATTCGATTCCGTCTAGCACCTCGCGCATAGTCGGTGAGCTTTAAAATTAAAGAGTCATTAGCGGAATAATAATTGGAGTTTAATTTAAAATAAATAAGTAAATATACAAATTATATGCATTAATAAACACGGTAGCGGCAGATGGCGGAACGGACGGACTCGGACACCACCAAGCAGCCAGGAGTCGGACACCGTTGTGAAGAGCGGGCCGTTTCCAGCAGACCAAATTCCCGAAGACGCCCGTAGTATAAATTGGCTTTACAATACAAATTATATGTACCGTTCTCGAAATAATATAAGGGGGTGAGTTTTTCAACCCCTTGGATGGTCACGCACGGGGATGTATTTCTTGAATATTAAATGTGGGATTGTTATCAAGCTCTCGTGTAAATTTGGTCGTGATACTATGTGCCGTTCTCGAGATAATGTACGGGGGTGAGTTTTTCAACCCCTTGAATAGCGGAGCAACCGGATCATATGTATTCTAAATTATTATTATTATTATTATTTTTTATTCTGTAACAATATATTGAAATAATTTGTATTGTAAAGCCAATTTATACTTCTTTCTTCGGTAATTTGGTCTGCTGGAAACGGTGTCCGGGTCCAGAAAATGGCGGCGGTCAAAAACGTAGCGGCGAAATATCAAAAGCAAAAAGATCTAAATTCATAACGCGTTTTCTTTTTATTGAAACGTCCATTTCGAGTTTTTTTTCTCGCGATATCGGAAAAATATGGGATCGATATGACGATATCAAACTTCAAATTTTTTAAGTGCGCTTCTTTTGAGCTAAAGCCCAGCTCAAACGTACGGTTTTTTTCTGTAACTCATTAAAAGTAATTGCTACTAATTATACTCACTTGATTTGCTGGACTGAAGTTTCGGCAAACGAAGTTCCAATTGTCTCTTGGAATTTAAGTGCAATCGACGAGTTCAAGATAGCAAGCTGCTATCTGTAAACGCGTAAACAACGTTTCTATCCTGGTTTTTCGTGTACCACTAGAAAACTAAAATCGATTAATCGGTAATTAACGTACCTAAAACTTATTAAATTTGATTGTCTCTCTTCTTCCCTGGCAAGAGAACTTTCGGTGGCGATAAAAACAATTTAAAGATTCTTACAGGAAAGGGTGCAAAACTGATTATTTCACTACTTACGTGCGTTATCGGCGGGAAAATAAACAGAAAACTTACCCTTCATCTGCTAGTGCAAGTACGTAAATTCAGAAACTTCATAGTAACGAAGCGCCAAACTTAAAACACTTCCTTCTAGATACCGGGTGTTCGGTAAAGCTGTCGACTCCACAAATATACGGTGTGGTCATGACTTCGGGTAGCTCAAGGCGGAAAACGGGTGCTTCGTCACACCTCCCTTTCTTCGGCACGCTATCCTAAAACAAACTAAACTCCGGGACGGGAAAATAGGACGGAACTCTAACTACGGGATACGGTTGTCAAATTTACACCTGCTACTTTTCACTATATACTATTGGTATTTATTTATACGCAGCGAATAATACAATGAAATAAATAAAGCAAAATTCGAATCAGTAGAAAAAATTCTTTTTCAAAAATTAAATATACAGACCAGAACTTATGTGTTTAAATTCCATAATTATTGAACCATTTTCAAAGTCCGGCGTAATGTTTAACTTAAAAAAAATGACCATACAAAAAAAATACGGAGAAATAATTTTTTTAATTCCACGCCTGGTAAACCAAGGAAAAAATGCTGACTTTGCTTCCCGCGGTGGTTGTTTTGGGGATAAACGGTGGTGGATGTTTCCGGAACGGACGGTGCCGGACCCTTCAAGTTCCTGCTCGGTCGCCAAAATGTATGCGACGAACTGGGGTAGTTCGCGCATAGTCGGCGAGCTTTAAAATTAAAGAGTCATTAGCGGAATAATAATTGGAGTTTAATTTGCAATAAAACAAGTAAATTTAGAACATTATATTTATTAATAAACACGGCAAAACGGCGGCAAGAAACCGCTGAATGAGCGGACACGGACGCCACCAACCGACCAACCCTTGAGTTTAAGTTCTAAGAACCCTGTCCTGGGATAGATATCAAAATATGGACGCTTACACGACAATCCGAAACAGAAATCGAACAGAACAGGTGGCATCTTGGAAAAAATTCTACAAACAAGCTGTGATGTGCGTGGCCCCATTTTGTACGTTATTACCGCTTTAGTTCCAATTGTAATACAAACTAGAGTGTTTGCTGAGATGATAACTAAGGAAAAAGAATCATAATTGAGCAAAAAGAGATTGTAACAATTTCTTTTTTGTGTATTTCCTCCATTTGGAAATCCGTGCTAATGGAGACGAGTAACGTATTGAACTGCAAAAAGAAGTTACGCCAACATTAATTACGGTATCATACTCACGAGGGAGAAGACGAGAGCGGATGTATGCTGATTAACAATTTGAAAACTTTTCACATTTCAACCAAACATTATTAGACGGGTTAACCAATTTGGCCGATCGTGATCTGCGGTAATTCGTTTTTTATTCAATTGCACGATTTACATTCATGCCGCATCCGGCAAAACGTGTTTTATCATATCGCAGTCGATATTTGTAACGCATTCGGTTTATGACACTTGAATTTTAAACGTTCAAAACGCATTTGGAAATAAAACTCTCGCATTTTTTTTGTATACCCACAGCTTATTTTGCGGTAAAATCTTTTTTCTGAAACTACTTCAGAAACAACTATACTTTCGCCTGTAACAAGGGCGAAGAAAATGTGATTTTCCTCTCATAGTGAGGAAAGTAGAAAACAATTGCTGCGTTAACCTGAATAATGATATTTAAAATTGAAACTTACCCACATCTAGATTGCTATGTATCAAACTTCATTATTGCATACGATAACCTTTCAATTTTGATTGTAGATTCTGAAAAAATTATGTGTAAAATTTCAGAAAAAAGTGTTTTTCTACTCTCGTTCGCTACGCTCATGTGTCTCGAGTTGAAATAATTCACTTTCTGTCTAGTTGTACAATTAACTATAGCTTTTTGCGTAATATTTAAAAAGCTTATCTCATGTTTTTTTCCGGTCGTAGATGAGAGTTGCACTTGTCGCTCAAGTTTAATTAATTTTGTAAACAGATATCGAAGGTGCATAAAAATGTAAGAGAAGTTTTGAGAATTTTAACTAAAAATTCAGAAGTGCAATCGAAAATGGGACAACAGAGGAAAATGTGTTAAAAAAAAGGAAGTGTTGCAACGTTGCTTCTGGATAATTCTTAATTTAATACAATTAATTTTGGGGTTGGATTTGTTAATGTCTTAATATTGAACTATAGGTTTATAACTTATCAACATTTTTTCATGTGGTAAAACTACACCGATGTGGCTATCCAACTTTAACAGTTCCCCCTATCAGTTAAAGAAGTTAGTCGCTCTAATTATTTGAAGTTTTGGTTTTAGTCATAAATTCATTGTCTTCTGTATACACTTTTCCATTTTTCAGGGAATTTGTTCGATAGGTATTCTCGCATCATAAGGGCGATGTGCGCGGGGGCACCATCCTGTTCAATCCAGCAGTTTCCAACTTTTGTTTTTTTTTTATTGTTTGCCGTACATCGTCGTATTCGTCGGGCCATATAAAAAAATAAAGTTGATGATGATTTCTCCAAAACGAAACGTTGTATTGAAAATCTCTCAACGTTGTTTTGTAGAGCACAGTGACAATGAAAAAGTGTCTTTTTTAATTTTTTTGTATATGTTCTGTTGTTTTTGGCATATCTTCCGAAGGAATCGGAATATTGTGGTATTCTTTACAGCAAATTATTTTTCTCCAATATAAAAATAACCCGTTTTTTTAGTAATTTTAGTAATCGCAAAAAAACGAAGTGATGATTCTCGTTTTAAATTTTTTAATGATAAATTTTAATGGAGATTCCGAATATGGTTTCCCGTTTTTAATAACTTTTAAGATGACGGAGAAACACGTGGCAACTTTAGTTTTTCTTATGGGCGCCATTTTGAATTTGTTGCGGAATTTTGACATTTTGAGATCTTTACAACGATATATCACACATGGTGGTTCAGTATCACAATTTTCCTAAAAATACAATTTTCAATTTTTTGAAAAGAGTGCTTTGGAAAAACAAAACTTTTTTTGTTGTTAAACAAAAGTTTGACAGTTGATCCATCTGATTGGTTGCAGCGTTGTCAGGGAAGTTGTGTTGAGAAAATTCGATTTTCATCTGAACCTTCGTTTTGCAAGAAAATTATAATTTAAATTATAACAACCTTTTATTCACAACAAAAGAACGTTTTGTTTTTTCAAAGCACTCTTCCCAAAAAATGAATAATTGTACGTTTTGTCCATTTAATGAAATTTGTTGTTTATTCATATTGTATTGCTAGCAAAGGTATTTTTAGAATGGAATGTAAGATAAGGCACGTTGCGCCTGTGCCTGTGCGGAGTTTGTTTGCCGAATTGAACGACTACTTGCACAATAGTGCAGAGAACATCATTTACTCTCGAATCTAATAAAACGGACCTCGCTCTCGATTATTCCGCCGATGATATTTATCTTTCAATATATTACCGCTTTTTAAAATGAATGTTCGCCTGTAAACAGAGAAGTAATATAATAATAAAATCAATTCATAACGGAAGTGTGGAAAAGTTTCTGGCAGATTATGAAAGGCGGGCTTATTGAAAAACTTCGCCGGATTCGTTTTTTGGCAGATAATTTAACTTGAATGATTAATGGTCGTAGTTTTTTTTCGGAATGTTGTTCTTTTATGACACGCAATAATATACACCTATACACGTGCTAAAGGAGACGAGAGGATTTTGTCAAAAATATCCATTGGCTCGTTTAGAATCCTTTGGGGGTAAATTTATGATGTAGCAAACTATCCCCACGTCACCGGCGGCTTAGATAAAGGGACACACGTTAAATCGCCAAAAGGGAAAAACGAGGGCGCGCTTTTGTTCTCGATATAATCCAGATCAATTACGTGCGTGCACAAAAAATGCTGGGACAAGCTCCGACTACTTAATTCAATTACTTACTCCCTTTAAGTAACCAAATTCAGTTTTTGCAACTAAAATTCGAAGTGGTAGTCTTTCTCATGCTAGATTCTATTTCTTCGAGTTAATATTTTTGCATTTCGATCCTTGGATTGGCCCTAAATCATTCTAAAAGCTTCTTCTGAAATATTGATCAATTAATTGGTTTTTCGTATCACGTTAATTAACAAAGATACATGAAGCAATTAGCTGTCGGTCGTTGAAATTGTGCTAAGTCACACGTATTGATTTTCTTATTGTTCGCTTGTTATTAAACAAACGTTTCTTTTCCTTCATGTTTTGAGTACCACTCCCCTAAGAGTATGCATGAAATCTGTCGTTAATTACCTACGTTTAAGGTAGATGCTATAAAAAGTGCCGAGAAGAATTTTCACGGTTTCTCTCGTACAAGAAATCTTTAATAAGTTCTTAAAACGTCTTCCAAAAATCATTAAAGCTGTTACCTAAATAAAACTCTCAAGTTAATGTTAAACGTCGTCGCGTGGCTTGTAGGTAAAGCTTTACATTCTCAAGTATCTAATATTCAAAAGCGTCTTTTGCTTTTTAACGGCATCTCTCAACAAGCTCGCACAATGGAGCTAAGGGCTTTCCAACTAAAACTTCCTAGTCTAGTGGAGTTTGCATTTAGTAATTAATAAGAAATTTATTAGCGCAATTTCAACAGGGTCCCTAAATTAATGCAAATCGTCCTATTTTTACTCGAAATTTACCTTCGCTTAATATTTGACGAGATTAAAATACGACATGGTAGTCTAATGGGTTTAGGGAGGTCGTAAAGTAATAGAGACAAAAATGGAACTAATTCATTTCGTAATGGCGGAAGTTTGATGCGAACGTGTAATTGTCTCGTAAAAGTGAAGCAGCGGCAACTACAAATCAGACCCCCGTTGTCTCTTTTTTAATTAAATATGATACTCGGCGGGTTTATTCGACTGTCCGTTAGTTCTCGCCCATTGTTTATTCCAAGCAAATGAATCCCAATTGACCAGTTGTGTTCTAGAGATCGTTATGGATTCGCAAATTACGTTCAAACTGTCTGTCCCTTCGTTACATTTCAAATTATACTCTTGTCCGTAGCACAGTGAATACGAAACAAATTTTGTATTGTTGATACTTGATACTTTGGCGCATGCCTGGCGTAGTGGCCTCTCCCAGAATTTAGTCAACTGTCGCGGGGACGAGTCCCTGGTAAAAACCTGCAGTGACTCAATTAAGAACAGTGGCGACAACAGGTCGTTTTTGATTGGTCGTTGGTTCCAGTCGCCATATTGGAGCTAAATTTCAAACTAGCCAATAGAAAGCCTCCAAAACGGCGCGGTACACTCCGTACTCTCTTGTAACGCAATCCAATTTGCTTATATAGTAAAGTCGAATGTTTCCGAGTAGTCGCGAACATTCTAGAACAAAATACGTCTATGTCTATCGAGATTTCTGGAATGTTCGCTACAAGCGTCCTTACTTTTTTGTTATCCGGAAATGCATTTCCTCGCATAAAAATGACAGTAGACGAATAATAGATTGCCATACGCAATTCCCATATTTTTTGTTAATCGGGCATTCATCATCCTCATGGTTACAGAATAATAAGCAATAACCTCGTCATTATTGCGGTTTTATTTATGACTAGAGGTTGGTTCGATTTTCATTTGTTTATCGACCGTTAAATTAACACTCGCTTCATTGGAAATTAACAACCGGCCGAAAGTGCATCCGCCTCGTCTTAAATACTTGTAATAATACTTTGTAATGAGTGGTATCTACAGTGTACTAATGGGTACGAAGATAATTATTATCACCATTGCGTTGCTGATTATGCTTATGGGGGGTATGTTTTGGAATACGTTACTTCGTGGCCACGCTAAATTGTTTTTAGGTGTTGAATGTTTATTGGGACAACATTGCATCTTTAAGGAGTGCAAGGATTATTGCAATGGAAACAAGTGCTTTAAAGGAAAGTGCATTATGAATGTATGCTATTGCGTTGGTTGTAGATAAACAAATGAATTACGCTCAAATGTCTAGTAACATCAACCCCATCCGCATTTTTTGCAGGAAAATTATAGTGCTCGCTAGGGAAACGTTCGAATCCAGCGTAAAGAATTACGTGTTTTTTTTAACGAGGCTGAAAATGATTCAGTTTGTTCGTACTAAGGAAAAAATTGTGAATTGATTCATATGTTAAAAAAACCAAAGCCGCCTGGCATTTTTTTTAAATGTAAGTCTCGTAGATCAGCGTTTTATCAGGTATGCTGCGTATAGCCAATCTTGCAATTTTTCCCTTTCCTATAACAATAAACTTACCCACGGCTAGCTCTGTAATATAGCATTTTTTCTGAAACAAACTACTTTCGTCTCTAAAAAGTGTGAAGAAAATGTGATTTTCCTCTCTAGTGAGGAAAGTAAAAAACAATTGCCGTTGCCGCGTTAATCTTAATAATGACATTTAAAATTGAAACATACCAGTACTAAATTCATTATTGTGCACAATAATTTTTCAATTTTGACTGTAGTTTCAGAAAAAATAATGTGTAAAACTTGAGAAGAAAGTGTTTTTCAACTCTTGTTCAATTGATACATGAACTCGAGTTGAAAAACTCCACTTTCTTCTCTAGTTGTACAAGTAACTATTACCCAAAATCGTCCTGAAACCTAATTTTCATGCTTATTTTATGCCAGGACATTATAGTTTCCATGACAAAGGCAGAGCAGACTACGTTTCCTGCCGCTTGTCACTTTACCGGCCGCACCTGTCACTTTACCGGCCGCACCGTCACTTTTCCGGCCGCATCTGTCATCAGTGACAGAATGACATTAATCAGAAGTTCTACACGGTGTCCATTTTTCGAGTGCCACTATGGGGATCTCGCTTACCTGAAGAGATAGAGAGTTGGTTAAATGGGGGCAAAGTTGCGAATTTTAGTGCTGAATAATAATCTAAAAAGAAATTAAAAATATCTTTAGTAGTTTTGAAAATATCGAAAAAAAACATTATTCAGGCACTTTTTAATTTTTCGGGAAGAGTGCTTTGGAAAAACAAAACGTTCTTTTATCGTGAACAAAAGTATGACAGTTTGATCCATCTGTCTGGTTAGAGCATTGGCAGGGAACTAGTTGAGTTGAGATTTTCATCTGAATATAATTGAACCTTCGTTTTGCAAGAAAATTATAATTCAAATTAGAACAAAATACTTAAGAAGAAATAATATTTTCGCAATAAATCTAGCACAAACGTAAATTACACTACTTGAAATAAGTCAACCTTTTGTTCACAACAAAAGAACGTTTTGTTTTTCCAAAGCACTCCTCGCAGAAAATTAAAATTGTAATTTTAGGAAAAATGTGTTACTGAACCACCCTGTGTGATATATCGTTGTAAAGAGAAAAAAAGACGTAATCTCAAAATGTCAAAATCGAAAACGGCGCCCATAAGAAAAATTAAAGTTGCCACCTGTTTCTCCGTCATCTTAAAAGTTATTGAAAACGGGATGCCATATTCGAAATCTCCATTAAAAAGTGTCTAAATAATGTGTTAATTAGAAATGTCTAGAACGATTAGTTTACTATGAAAAAATTAAAAACGAAAATTTTCTTTTTTTTGCGATATTTTCAAAACTATTGAAGATATTTTAAATTTCTTTTCAGATTATTATTCAACACGAGAATTCGCAACTTTGGCCTCATTTAACCAAATGTCTATCCCTTAAGATAAGCGAGATCCCCATAGTGGCACTCGAAAAATGGACACCGTGTATATGAAAATTGAAATTTTATATTAAAATACGATTTCGGGTAAAATTGACAAAACTCGTCGGGAAAATGACACATTACTGTCAAGGAAATATTGAAGTGCGATGCCCCTTTGAGACCGAGTACTATACTTTCCGAGTTTATGTAAATAACTATTACATTATTAGCCAGGTAAGTGAATTTTTACTGGCGATAGAAGCATTGAATAAAAACACTGTATCATTGAATAATAGAAGTTAACTGGCGAGCCGTTATGTGAGTTTGTACCCCTCCAGGGATTGTGCATTACTTTTGGTGCGTTACGTGACGCTAATAAGCCCTCCAGGTACGATCATGAACTTAATCAAAAATTGGTAGAGGGCACCTTAATTAAGCGTGTTCAATAAAAAAAAATTGCGGAAGAAGCTTTAAATTTTCCACAAGCATTCATTAAATACCCTGAGCGCAATATAATTGATTGCCTTCAATTCATTTCACTAGCAGAAAATAGTATTGTGTGCCTCTTCTCGGATTTTGACCTTTGTCAAGAAAACACATATACATGTTGTAACAGCACGAGACGCTACCGAGGAATGCAACCAAACGAGTATATGACGAGTTACATTTTTCAATAAGAATTTGGTCAGTAAACAACAATTTTGGACAAGCTCTGAAAATCGTTAGCGTGTCCTTTTTGTGTTGATTAATTGCTTAACTTTAAAATAATGAACGATGTACTCAAAAATGTTTTGACCTCATTTTATTTGTTAGAACATTTCCTTCATTTATGATTTATAGCCGAGATGATTCATTATCTTTTGTATGATTTTTTAATGCATTTTTCGCGCGTCATACCAATTTTCAATTATTTTGTTGTCGCCGCGGAGAGGTAAGGAAAACTGAAGCACTTCCGTTCGGTAATAATGTGCGAGACAAATAAATTACTTGCACTTTGATTCATTTCTTATTTATGTCTCGATTGAAAATTGTTTCTAACTACCGCTTCCGCTAGTGATCCGAGGCCGCCATTGTATTTTCACAATAAGTTTCCGACGTTGATGGATGGTGTATGCCCGAAACGATTATGAAGCACGATCAAGATCTCTTCCTTTGGTTTTTATGAGTTTATTTTTTAGGTCAAATGTGCGTATAGGCTATTAGCCACGCATCATCTAAGGGTTGAGGGAAATATCGGTCTCTGCTGTTATTACACAAGCGAGATAATTCAAAGGGATCGTGTCACATGCACAGATCCGCAAAGAGTATCTGTTTCCGTAATTGTTTCGTCGCTACTTGTAATTACAATTCTCAAGTAACTAATTTCACAGACCATACTAATTTCCTATTAGCCTTTGATGTTCAGAATATGGCTTCAAATGTTCATTATTAATCATACTTTCACTATTTTATCCATTATTCGGTCCTGTTCGCCATTTTTCTAGGTCCATAATTTTTTTAGTGCAATATGGACGAAGTGTTACGTTTGGATTCGTAATGAATTTTTCTGCCCGCAGTAATAACAGAAAACGTTATGAAATATAGCGCCGTAAAGGAACTTTTTGTTCTAGAAAACGATACAAATAACAACTTAGAGACGAAAGTTCAATCGAAACTATCTCGGAAAGTTTAAGAAAATAAAGATTTCCTGAGGGAATGTGTGAGAAATTAGGGCTTAATTAACTTTCGGAGGTTTTACTCGGTCTGAAAGTTTTTACTCCTTTTATTTATAAAGGCGTTTTTCAGGTGGACTACACGAGGCACCTGGAGGAGATCGCAAGGGAAACGGAAATGATGGTAATGGAAACGATTCAAAATGAGCTGATCAAGGGAGATCTCGATAATGGAGTCGGCGTATTAGAAATGTGGGAAACATTTTCCAAGCTAATGCGTACAGGTAAGCGGAGATCCTTTATCACTTTTGACAAAATGAATATCAATTCGATTGTGCGTTTTTAAAATGGGGTCGCTAGTGAACCGCCCGCGAGCCGTTTTTAGAATTTTAAAACGGGCACAATACTTTTCCGATTACAATATTATAAATCAACCCCCTACTTCTGTCGCTGACACTTATTCTAATTTAAAGCACTACTTTTTACGCAAGTGAATAATTTTGAGTAATGAATGCAACACGGAATATATTTGCCGGCAATTTTAAAGAAATTTATATTCATGAGAGCATTTTTACCGCTATCCCATAAATATAATTTTACCAAATTTATTAAACATTACGCTTTGTGCGCGTTTTCTCTCGCGTCCAGCTTTTTTTACTAATTTATATAGGGCCATAGCTCATGTTGCTGTGATCTTTAAGCACGACATGAGAAAAGTACCGTTTAACTTGGTCATTTAATTGTTATGTTACAAAAAACAAGATACGAGGAATCGCATGCGAATTTCAGTGGGGGAATTTTTTTCCACTCAGCTCGTATTCGGAAACCAGACTTTTGATCCGGCTCACATTCAATAGCACTGATCCTTGAACTCGTAGAAATCGATTGGTGAAGATTTCACATCGCTATCTCTTTTCGTTCTCGAGTTAGAAGAGGAACAGACAGACGGGCAAGACCATAACATTTTTCGAAAAACAAAATTCCCCTAAAAAGGTGTTCAGAAACTGAACGAATGTAACAAATGCCGCATTTTGAGAAATGTTATTGCGCGAGCGTTCAGGGTGTCGATCTACGAACGTGACATTATGAACGTTGGCAAGTTGTGTTCAGAAATGGACCTACTAACCTACTGTTTTTCTTATGATCCATCCAAGGATGGATTGTCGACACGTTTCAGCCTTCAAACTGTAGGGCCCCCCCCCCCCCTCCAATGAATCAAAGCAATAATATCCTCAGCTCACAATGGCAGAGTCTCGCTTTATATTTTAATAGAGCGATGAATTGTCTTCCAGACGAGGATCACATTGAAAAGATAATCTTGGCTATTGGTAGATGCTGATTGTATGGATCTATGGAGAAGTCGAGTTTAGAAATACATTCTGCTCCGACCGAACACATCTGGGATCAATCCTCAAAGGCTTCTTCGCATTCATACAAGTTCCGCTCTCTCACAAGGAGGTAAAGGCCGGCATTATCTTTCAAAACAGAATCGGTTTCAACAAATAAGTAAAGGCATATTATAATAGGAATAATTCCGCCATCCTCTCCACTTTTTTATGACGTCACACGTGCTGCGCTGTAATTGGCTACGCTATTTTGTGGCGGTAAATTTGAATTTGTGCGGGAGTTTTGAATTTCCGGATGTCGGCCATTTTGTAGCTTTAAGTTTAAGTGAATTTATGCAGGAGACCTGAATCTTTGACTTTCATCATCTGCCATTTGGTTGTAGTAAATTTAAATTTGTGCTGGGAATTTGAATTTTTACTGTGGTTGCCTGTGTTATAGATGTAATGATAGTTCAGTATACAGGGTGTAATGATAGTTATACACAGGTTGTTATTTTACTGCGGGAATATCATAGTGGCACTAATCTGCCAACCATTCAGTTCTGCTGCAGGCATTTTGAGGCCTGTGAAATATAAAATTTGTCATAGTGATTATGCGACGTAGACGGTGAATTTTCTGTTTGTAACGTTATATCTCAGAGGGTTCGCCTCGAGGATATTGTTGTTTCTTAGACTCCTTTTTTTAATCAACAACAAGTTATCCAATATCCGTCGAACATAAAATACCGTAGAGCGGTAGTAATAATAGTAACAGTCTATAGTATAGATGGTAGAGCAGGCGACAATGAAGCCACCGTGCTATCGGGCGACATACGACGAATATCAAGATTTTCAAAATTGTGCGATACATTGTTATGGACATGGTTATGGATTGGATGCAAGAGGAAGAGAGGAAAATTGCAGGTAACGCTGTTTGTGATTGTATAGTGGATTAAGTGAGAAGAGTAGCTAATTACTAACACTCCGCTCACTATAAAATAAAGGCAATAAAAAAAAATCTCTACGATAAACGAAAAATTCTGACCTCAGCCCAGGTTCGAACACCCGACCTTCCGGCTATGTAGCCTAACACTTTACTTTTACACAAAGTGTGATGGTAAGAGATCTGAAACCCTTATAAGATTGTCAAACTTTGTAGAGGTTTTTGCTTTTAAGGGACTTATTCCAGACCCGGCTCGTGTGGCGCCGTTCAGTTGAAGCTGACATGGATATTTGTAAACGTATAGTGGGTTGGGTTGGTAGAGCAGCCTTGGCCGAAACCCCGCCCACTTAAAGTAGTTACAGCGTCACATTTGGTCACTTATTCTCTAAGAGACGCACTTTCCAATGGGCAAAAGAAAAAAGAGTTCGTATGTGCCCGTTCGGCGACGTAATAAACTTTGCCCCCCCCCCCCACACACACACAAAATTATAAACAGTGTCCCATTTTTGGGGGAATTTTTCGAAAGAAAACAATTTCCTTTATGTGATGGTTTTGTCCGTTCATCCGTATGTTCCTCGTCTAATTCGAGAACGAAAAGGCACATCGAATTCTACGAGTTCAAGGATCAGTGCTAATGAATGTGAGCCGGATTAAAAGTCTGGTTTCCGAATACAAGCCGAGTGTCAAAAAATTCCCCTACTGAAAATCGTATGCGATTCCTCGTACCGAGTTTTTCACTTTGCGTCAGCGACACCGGGCACCGAAGGCATTCGGAGATTAGTTTAAGTCGGTATAGGTACTTTCTCCCATGGTTCGTATTGTTCTTTTTTTGTGGTATCTAACTGAAAGAAATAAATTGCATTTGCCAGTAAAAATATGGTATTTTAACAGACTTGCGTTTTCTGAGCTAGCGAAGGTTTTTGTATCAAGACTTAAATGAGATGATGAATTTTGTGACGACTCTAAATACCACGGAAAACATCTTCATGATGAAATACGGAAGAAATTCGCCGCCGGCGAGGCGTCTGCTCTGGTGGCGCGCTGTTGTTCAAATCTGTTGCCTTTATTTAAATACTGTGTAGAACTATTAATTGTTCTGTGTCAACACTATACAGGGTGTAGAAACGGTTTATGCACCATAGGGATTTCAGTGCTAATTTCTTTATATTGAAATATATTGCTCCCCTAATTATTTTACAGGAAAGTTGTAAATAAATGTTTTGTAGATTGTTGATTCTGCGTCTATTCATGTGCCCATTTGTAATTTTTTGCTTTGAAAAATCGGAGTAATTAAGGAAATTCTGAATTAGAATTATAATTATAAATCCAATTTCTATTTCAATAATTAATAAAAATCACTGGTGCCGTGAAATTATTGAAACAAAAATTCGATTTTGACGCAAATACTAAATGCTAATTTCTTTATTTTTTCCGGTTTCCCGAATTGTAAAATACTAAATGAGGACATGAGCAGACGCAGAATTTTTCAAGCTACAAGAAACCTATTTGCAACTTTGCTCTAAATCAATTAGGAGAGGAAATATTTCAGTCTAGTTACAGAATGTTTTAACTTGTAGTTCGCTATTATCGCGCTATACGCACAAATTTTAAAGGTCAAACGCCCCTCTCCGCGTGACGCTGCAGTCAGGCCACCTCGATTAAATATCTCATTCGTTTTCGTGTGTTTAAAGGTCAAACGCCCCTCTCCGCGTGACGCTGCAGTCAGGCCACCTCGATTAAATATCTCATTCGTTTTCGTGTGTGCCACGCGTAAGCATACAAAGTGTCTCGCTGCTTTTTTGTTTTTATGTCAGGTGCCTTTTAACTTGAAACTTAAGGCGGCTCCACACGCAACGGAAAAACCGAAGGCATGCCTCGAGGCGCAAGACCTCAAGGAAAACCTCTATGTGTGTATGGAGAATTCTGTTGAGGTTTTCCTGCGCATCTGACGCCTGGAGGCCGGAAATTTCAATACAAAATCTCATTCGATTTGCCTCTTCTTTTATAGCGCCCCAAGGCCGATCGTATTGCGTGGATGGGTGGGAGGTAGGCCTTGAGGCGATTCCGTTATACCCTATACGTATACCGTGTGTCAACCACCAAACCTGGCCATAGACACATTTAAAACTACACAATTTTTAAGAAGAAATATGAGTTTCCATATGAAATATATATTTTGTTTAATGTCATATTGACACACCGTGTAGTTTAGTGTGAAAAGAGGTCCGTTGCATCAAGTTTTCATATAGTCATGGCCCGTGCAAGAGGAATTTATAGCCAGAAATCTTAATGTGGCACTCAATCTTCAATGAGGTGTAATTGCGGTCCTCATTATAGTGTCCTTTTTGTAAATGATCGACGTCACCAATGATAAGAGCCTTAAGCAGTGCCGGATCTAGAAGTTTTTAGCACGGGGGCAAATTTGGTATTGTGCCGCCCTTCTTCCCAAATTACCAAATTAAAATTACACGAACCATGCCAACTTTTGCCGCCCCCATAGAGTGCCGCCCGGGGCACTTGCCCCCTTTTGCCCCCCCCCCTTTATCCGGTCTCTGAGGACGTTTTAGAGATTGAAACGATGTTCAGCCCCTTATGGACGTCCTGGAGATTTTAGGAAACGATCCTAGTCAAAAAAGGACCTCTTCCCCCAACATACACGCAGCTTTGGCATCTTGTTGGATTTCTTTTGCGTTAACCGCGCCAGCCTTAAATCCGGAAACAGGGGCAATCCTACCTTCTTCCATTCAAGCCAAAGAAAGCTGCTTATGCAAAATTTCAGAGTAGCCTCAGCAACGGGAGCTTTAAGTAGGGGGCTTGACATAGTTCATCGGGAAAACGAAAATTTCCACCCAAACTGCAGGGAGAATTTGCTGAAAAACCTCTCAGATGCGGGTAAAATATTAGTGTCCTTTTTCCATGATCTGTCAATTTCAAGGCGAAAGTTCATATTTCCATATATTAACAAAAACACTAAAGACACTAAAACATTCTGTAACATTTTTGAACTGGATGATCGATATAATTACGATCGAACTTCGTAGGTAAGTTCGTTTCGTCGTTTAAATATAAATAAATTAGCATTGATTGGTGCATATACCGTTTCTACACCCTGTATAATAATAATAATGATAATAATGCCTTTAATGCATAGGCGAAAAAAATATAAATACAATTTGTAATGGTGAAATGGGGCGAAGTTCAGTTACACAGTAAAATACCACTGCCTGCTGTATACAGTGCAGATTCACTAAAGGCTTGGTTAGATTTGTCCCCGAAAAATGCAAAGATAATCTTTTTGTTCCAGGCACTAAATCTCAAACAATGACCGAAGAGACTGCACTATTTATTACAAAGTTAGAATATTTAGAGGAGTTGTGGGCTAAGCTAAAGGTGTCCACTGACTCGATTCAGCTCGAACGGCTAGCTCGCTTAGAAGCGAAAGGTACAACTCTTCTGTCAAACATCAGGAGTGAAAAGAGCCTAAACGTTGGTGGCAAGTTCGAGTGGGTAAACTCGATATTAGTAAAGGTAAGTCGCCTAGTAGTTGCACAGTATACTATTTCTACGTTTAATAGTGCATGCAAGAAGGGGCGTGGTTGCTGATTGACAACGTTAATCTGTGCAGTCCGGCAGTCTTAGATCGTCTCAACGCGTTATTGGAACCTAACGGGGTGCTTACGATTGGCGAGCGTGGCATAACCCCAAGCGGAGAGATGTACGAAGTAAAACCGCATAAAGACTTTCGATTGTTTTTAACTATGGACCCGAAAAATGGGGAAATATCTAGGTACGATTGATCTAGGTGTAATGGGTAATTAATTTTGTCATCGCAGGGCTATGCGCAACCGGGGCATTGAAATTTGTCTACTAAACGAAAACGAAGACCCTTCCGTTTTGAATGAGCTGGATTTAAAATCATTGATCAGCCATTGTGGTGTGACAAACACGGCCCACCTCGACGCCCTTTTAAACATCCACCGATTTGTAGGAGATTTAACCCTAGGTACCGGCTCAATTATTTAAAGTTACCGGCTGTAATTGTTTTTTCAGGGGAAAAGCCGAACATTAATCACCTTCTACAAGCTGCGTTTTTAACTGCCGAACAATTGCGGCGCGGCGTCGATCTATTTACGGCGTTAACTTGCGCGATTACGGACGTGTACTACAAGTCGCGTCGAAATTCCGAATTCAACGTAAATAATCCTGCGGAATTGATAAATGAAAAAATTACCTCCGTTATTTACGAAAACGGGGAGTTTTACGCCCGCTCTATGACTTTACAGACTCATAACTTGACTGTTAACTCCCACCTAGAGAAGATAAGGCAGCACACTGTACTTCTCGGTCACGAAAATTATGTCAATGATTTAATTAACGCTTTTACAATTGCCAGTTCGGACGATCTAAAGGTGCGCTACGCCTACATTAAATCCATTTTGCCGAAAAGTTCGCAAGAACTCTGCAATAAACTCTTCTCAATCGCCTCCCGTTGCGCGCGAGAACGTCACGAGTTACCTTTCGATCACCGTTGGCTGCCAGACAGTCGACAGCTTGCAAATGCAAACAACCTTTACGTTTCCTTGTACTACGAATCGAGAACTTACAATTCCAAATTGGGCAGTAAACAGAAACGCAAGCTGTCGTTATTTGAATTTCTCAGCGCCGTGCGATCTAAGAAAACCGAGCCTAAGCTGGACGACATTTTGGAGAAAGAATTGCTCAACTTACTGGACGCCTTCGACAAGTTTGTGACTAAGTGCCTACAGTCTGGAAGCGTAAAAGTCGAGGACGACATACTTTGCGAGGTCCTCTCCGTATTACAATGGCGCTTTGTACTCTACCGCAAACTGAAGACTGACGTCTGGAATATTAGTGCCTCCGATTACCAACGGTTGATCGAAACCGTGCACATTCACTACAAGTGGTTCACGAAGGCGTTCGAGAAACTCTCAAAGCTCTTAAGGACGAGTCGTGGCAATTCGGTTTCAAAATTGATCGCAGAAATTAATCGGAAATCTTCGTACGATTTCTCCGCGCTGCAGAAGCTGTCCAAGCTCTATCAGAAGGTGACGCGTAGGCCTCCACCGCCCGCCTCCGAAGAACAAATCGCAGTGTACGAAGAATTGCGCCAGATATCGGATGACTTCTGTATATACAATCAGCAGAACGACTTCGCACTACTCTTACCGTTTACGCTTCAAAATCCAGAAGTACGCCCCCTGTTGGTCGCAGCAAGACAGCGCGCCCAAGTGGAAAACGATCTGAAGGCCTTGCATGACCGTTTCGTTAAGAACGAGGATCACTCGAAGTGTAATCGGGACCAAACTGAGATACTGCCTTTCGTTGACTATTTTGCCAGGCTCGCCGTTATCGCAATGAGACACGATGTTAATCTCGATAACAACGAAATTTGTATGAACGCCCTCACAGTTCCGCCGGAATTACTAGCCGTGTCGGAAATGTATGGTGCTACCGGTGACGAGTGTTTAAGGCACGAGTTAAATGCCAACACGTTCCTCTACCTTCTCAATGCTGCATCCGTACTTCCCGCCAAATTTAATCTGGAGGAGTGTGACCAGCCGAAGCCGTTCCCCCAGTTTGCACCAATATTGAGCTTTACGGTTGTAAATCTATTGGTACCCGATGTTAATCACAAGGGGACGATTCGGGCGACATCGTACGGAAACTACAGTAACATAACTAGACAGCACCAAATGCTTAATGTCGCACTTTGGAGGAATATGGTGCAGTTGTCTCTTCCGTGCTACGACTTCATGTAAGTACTTGTACCAGGTGACTAATGAATAATGAGATTCCACAAAGAATTTTTTTTAAATACATTATTATTTTGATACATAGGAAGAGAAACAACACGAAACAGAAAAGTAATTAAAGCACTAGACGAATGTTACACAATGGTATGTAATTTGTAATCAGGAAATACAGGGCTATTCAAAACTACAAAAATATACAGGGTGTCCCATTAAAAATGTATTTTGTTGGGTGCACCCTGTATATTGATATCAACTACATTTTTAGTCGGTTCAGTTCAAAAACTTTTATTTGAAACTTAAGTTCCCAAAATCAATGAAAATGTGTGGGGGTCAAAATGTAATGAGAAACCCTGTACATGTCTACTCTTTCAGCGACCTTCGACATAAACGATCAGCCTGACCAAAAAACAAATTTTAAGAGGATTGGAGACCACGTGACTTTTTCATGCGTAAACAAACAGTCCCCTTACGTCTCCATCGGAGGTGTAATCATACACCTACCAGCGTATATTCATCTCTGTCACACAAATAGCGTTCCAGAACTTGTTGCAGAATAAGCGCGTTCTAGTAACATGCGCTTTTTACATTCTGGCAACACTGCTGCGCTTTGACATTGCGTGATGGAAACAAAATACAAAGGTTAGGTCAAGTTCGATTTTCAACAAAAATGATAGCTCATTGCTTAATTGTTGAATTGTCTCATTTTTAATTATTTATGTAAAAGTAGCACAACTAACCAACACGAATTTACATAAAATCACTAGTAAACACTTATAATTAAGTCTCCTAACATTGACATGTGTCAAATTTCGTTTCACAAAACGCACACCGCCCTATCATGGCGCTGTTGGCTTCATAAATTTGACTTTGCTAGCAATCCGGTTATTTTTTCATCCAAGATTAGACAGCTCTCCGCGATGTTGCAACATTCGTAATAAAGATTTTTATAATCACGCGCCATCTACCAGGTAAATCTTATTTACGCCTCTAATTTGGTTACTGATTTTTACAATTAAATAAATTAGCCTGTGATAATTGTGTCCACAATGAAGTAAACGGCGCTATTTAAATTGTTCAAAATAATGATTTCTAACAACAAAGTTTATAATCAAAATGTTGACAAATTAAAAATTTTATTGAAATAGCGCCGTTTACCGATAAATTAGAATTACATTGTTAAAAACTGCATGAGAATGGAATTAAAAATAACGAAATCGCGTATCATTGGGGTTTCCAACCCTCGTAAAGTAAATAATTAATTTCTTGTTGTATCCATACAGGTATACGCCAGGTTGATGGTAACAGGTTTATTTCACAAAACTCGACTATAGTCGATCCGTTATTACTATTCCGATATGTCATTAACCCCACTAAATGCAGAGTTAACTTTTTTTACCTCACGTCGTCGATTAAACATAAACAATTCTATTAAACAACTGCATCGCGTTATTGTTGACGTGCAGAATAAGAATGAACAAAATACGGTACCGCAACGGTTAAGCGATTCTAGGTCGTATCGCTTACGTCAAAGAATGTTAATTAAGGTGAATTTCGCTTGCATCCAGTTTTGTTTAGCAGCGCTGCTATATCGCCCAGTGTGAAGGAGCTGCACTTACGAGTATTTACTTTGAATTTTGCAAGTATAAGCATTTACTCAATTTTATTGCATGCAATACGGTCGCGGATCATATCCAGAGCCGGACTGAGTGGGGCCCCGGGCGCTCCATGACCAAAAGACCCCCAAACTCATGGACCCCCCCCCCCTTGAAAAAGAAGACAACGGATTTGTAGATTTTTTAAATTGTATTTCACTTGCTGAACAGTATTGCACACGTACGCCACACGCTTGGATCGAGGGAGGAGGGGGGAGCGCTGCCGCAGCAAGCGAGCGAGCCCAGTTGACTCGCTCCTCCTTATGGTGGAGCCTCGGGTTAGCTGGGTTAACGCTTAGGGGGGCCCCGGCCGCTCGGGCGGCGTGGGCCAGTCCGGCTCTGAATTCATATCATTTAATACAGACCCAAAGTTGCATCCCTCTCCTAGATTGCTTAGGGGACCATACCCTCCCCAGGCTGCTGACGCCACTGAAGGGCCTAAAAAGCTTTCAAAGGGGCTTAGGTTTAAAAATGGCCCAAGGAGACTTTTGGCTGCTCTGTAAATTGTCTGTATTGTAAAGCACTGCTTTCAAGGTAACACCTTATGCAAATGGAGGCTGTATAAAGCTACGGAAAGCAACTAGGAGGTTCTGAAAAACTTTCGTTTACTCTAAATTACCGTCATATGCTTTGAAAAGCAATTTATTATAAAACTCTGGAATCCGTTGAGACCTTTAGAACTTCTGAGAGCTTTATTTGTACTTTCCAAAACAACTAGCCTTGGAAGATCTGCAAAAAAATCTCTGGGGACGCTGGAGACCCATTTGTTTTCATTGCATCTGTGCCGTCGTAGGAAAATTCAGTTTTGAAAAATCACAGTCAACTACACGAGAGCATCAGACAAATTTTGAATAGATCCCTAATGTACTTTATTCAAAATTCACCCCACCTAAACCACTTTTTATTATTTATATATCCATATATTATATTAAGCTGTCTGACGGTCAACTTCACAGGGGTCTAGAAGGGTCTGAAAAGCATTCGATTGTTCGGAGAAGTCCATGCTCTAAAAGCACATCTACTACGCGTTTCCAAATTCTTCTAGTCGCTCATTTTATACTCTTTCGAAACCATTGTAGACTCATCTACCTCTCGAAAGAACAACCACTTTGAAAAGTGGCTAGAAATTTCGCCACGAATCGCCTAAGGAGATTGAAACGTTTTTGAACTGCTTTCAAGAAGCTTTTCAGAACTTTGTCGGCTCTTTTAAACCTCTCTGGAACAGTTTCATAGTGGTCCATGCTCTATCAGAGCTTTCCAGGTTGGAAAGGGCAAGTAAGGTTCTGGCAAGGTTTCTAAACGTGTTTCTTAATACAGGGCGTTTCAAAAAGAATCATCCGATTTTAAAAATATATTGCTATTCATCTATAAGTCCGATTTGATAGAACAATGTACTGTTAGTAAGAGGAAGCTCTCGAGTTTCGCGTGGTTTCCGCTAGGTAGCAGTAGCGCGCTTCTGTCAACGCCCAGCTCAGTTATTGTCAAAATGGCGTCTAAACAAATTATAAACCTACAAAATCGGATGATTCTTTTTGAAACGCCCTGTATTATGAGTCTATTCCAAAGCTTTTTAGCGCCGTGTCAGATGTTTCAGGGCTCGTCAGGCTAGGGAAAGAGTCTAAAACGCTTTGGGAAGACCGTAGAAAGGCGTTAAAATACAATTCGCATTCTTCGGCTGTTTTTTCGAGTCTTAAGTGGTTCCTCCAAGCCATTCAATGCTACCTTAAGCTTTATACTGCACACAAGAGACTCTGGAACAGGCTCTGTGGAGTCTTAAATACTTTCTGTTAGTGTTTATTCTACATTTATGAGTAACAATGTTTCCCCTAGCAAATAATAAAGATTCATTGTTCGTTTCCAGAAAATGCGAGTCACAATACGTTCGGAAATCGTTCGAAGAATTCCAAAAGGATTTCAGTCATTGCCTCAATGTAGAAAATAACGAAGCCGGCTATGTGAAGGGTATATGCAAGTTGTATAGGAAAAACTCGTCATCGGAAAACGAACAGGGAGAACGCGATCTACTCCTTGTTCTATTAAAACAATGCACCGAAGAATTCGAGTGCTTATCCCAGAGTGAGAACATTGACGCCACAGTAAATCTATACTTCTTACTCAGTTACCTTCGAACTTTGCTCAATTCGAAATTGCCGCTGATCGATCCGCTCGCTAAAAAGCAGCTGAAGAAGAAATATTGCACGGACGAAATTGAGGAATATTTGCGCATTGTTCGATGTTATGAGTCGCAAAATCGCTTATACAGTGGTACGACTGAGACTCTGCACGCACATTCGTCGTTACTGAAGCAAAAAATCCGGGCACTGGAGGAAAAGTGTGAGGAGTTAAGTAAATATGCGTCTGTGCGTTGCCAAGATCCCAATTATAGCGCCGTCTCAAAGGTTTGTCTAATTCCTCTGAAATAATTGTAACTTTGTTGGTTTCTAGGAAATACTGCACTACTTTGACATGGTCGTAAGTCCTCTGCAAGTGGTGAACTTGTTTTACAGCCTGAACACCAATTTGACCCAACTCCGCGATAAGCGCATGAACTGCACCTCTGAGACCGAGAGACGGCTCAAAGAAACCAAGCAGCTGTGCACCACATTTTCGAGCTTAGTCGCGGTGTTAAAAAAATATCGCTACAATTTTCCGGACATTGTCATGCCCCTATTAGGCAGTGTTGCCGAATTTTTGTATGCGGCCACGTTAAAATTCGATCTAGGATTTGCCTTGTTAACGAAGTACAAAAATGCGTGGTACGGAATTGATGTAGGCCGAGATTTGGTGAACATTGCCCGATTTCCTACCGTAATGCGTGAGCAGGTCGATTGTATCGACGCGGTTAAGCTGTACACTCGACCGCAAATTCGGGAATTTGTGAAAAACTCCCTGACGGATGAAACGTTGGGCAAGAGGGAGAACTTTCGGTTGGTGGTTACGCTTATTTGTCGCGAATTTTGACGCACTGATTTTAGGTTGCTCAAGTGCGGGATACAAGATTTGTATAATTTCGGCATGCTCGACGCAGAGAATGGCAAAATGTTAAACGGCAAGCTGTTTGCGGTGTTCGAGGATTTGATTAAGGTATTTGTGAAGTCGTGGAAACAACAGCGGGAGGAGTTGGAGCGTAAACGCCTGGAGGAGCAAAGCTTGTATAAGATTACGTAAGTAACTGGTTTATTTTTGATCGTTTGAGGAAACTTTGCGGCCCCTGAAGTATTTTAGACGTTTGAACAAAAAGAAGTAATAAAGCGAGGCGCGCATTGAAACGCACGCGTAACCCACGGTCACACACGCTGTGTGTTTTGTTGAATTTATTAAAAAAATTTACTTCAAAACTGTAATTATACTGGGCACAAGGGGTCAATGACTCAATTTAGAACAGTGTCGACAATAGGGTATATCGTTTTTGATTGGTCGTTGATTCCAGTCGCCATGTTGGGGCTAAATTCCAAACTGGCCAATAGTAAGCCTCCCAGACGATGCGGTACACTCCGTGCTATAATTATTAATTATACTGTTTTGACAATTCACGCTTCACGGCTTAACGTTCCTAGTTTACTTACTTCTTGTATTTGCGTTATTTTACATTTTCCGTCTCCAGTTTTATATAAACTCGTATTTTTCAAGACACATTCAGGGTCATCCTTGACGAGCGTCATGTTAGAAAGATATGGAGAATTTTTGAAAATGAAACTAAACTGATAAGTCCCTTAAGGGTTTTGGCATATGATGATTTGAACTAAAATATTATCAAGATGGCGCCACTGTTATTTTAAATTTTAGCATTTTTATTTATTAATTAATTAATTTTATTTTTCCAATATTTGAGGTTAGGAACGAGATTTTGAAAAACGGTTTTCACTGAACTCTTTGGATGTTATTTGGCTACTTTTTTCATAAAGAAAAAGTCATATCTTTCCATTTGATTTTTTTAAGATTTTGGTTCATGGTGTCAAAACTAGCCCCCTGGCGTAGAAGTATTCAACTAAATTAACTATATATTGTTGATTCTCATTGCCCCAGGAATGCTCTTTTCAACCATACCAAATTTGTTAAAATTGGTCAAACGGTTAAGAAGTTTAGTTTATTATGCGAAATTTAAAGAAAATGCAATTTTAAAATTTAAAATGGCAGTTACACCCTCTGTTGGTAGTTTTTAGAACTTATATTTTCCAGCGATTGTTCATGACCGATTTACCCAGCAATTTTTTTTACCTCTAAGTCATATGACGAACGGTTCTCGAGATATGGTCGAGGAACAGTCTTATTGGGTCACCCGGTACATCTTTTTTGCACAACTTTCGCCACGACTTATAATTTGTATTGGTATTATTGTTACAGATCTAAAGACGAAGAAGCTGAAATAGAAGAAGAATTCAAGAAATTATTTCCCAGCTTTCACGATCAGGATTTCTCCGATTTAGAACCAAAATTGCTGGACGACGAACCAGAAGAAGCCGAAATGGGCCTATGCGACGATTACTCGGGAATAATCACTTTGGAGGATGTGAAGTTTGTTTCAGAAATGCATTCTCGTCTCTTATACTCACACACTCGCACCGAGTGGTTATCGCCAAAAGTTGGGCGTACAAATCTCGACTTCGTTACACCTTTACTTTCCAAGTGTAAATTTTACCAGATTATGTCGAAGAGCTATGGAGAGTGCTTGAATTTTAGAACTGATGCCGAATTGATTGGCACACTAAATTTGTTAGTAACCGTCGCTCAGAATTTTGGACGTGTGCAACTAGGTAAATTTATTATTTATGAATTTGATGAGTTCGTCTGAAAACGTCATAGAAAACATAGCTAGGGGATGGGAGGCTTTGGGGAGTGGAAACTGTATGTTTCCAATAAAAGTGTACAGTTCATTTTTAGTTTTATCTGATCAATTGTTTTTTGAATATTCTTTTCCATGGACTTTCTTAACAGTCTTTAAGGACGGCAGGGGTGCTTAGCACCCTCCAAGCCTAAAGGTCGAAAAGAAATGTTGACTAGTAGTTGTAGTCAACTCAAATAATTTACTATTAGTGTTTCGATTTCAGGTAATAATCTCCATTCTCAACACCACTATGACTTCTATAAGGATTCTAATGTATCGGAAGTGCAAAATTCCCATCACAGCCTGGACCAGCTTCACAAACACATCCTCGAACTTTTAAACAAATGGCCAGATCATCCTACACTTAAAACGGTAAGCGCAAATTAGGCGTTCGTAATTTTGAAGTGCTTCCCCAGATACAACTTGTGATCGAGCGCATTTACAACTTCGACATCGCGAGCCCACTGTCCAGATTTCTAACAGGTTTCGAAATATTATTAGCGAAGTGTCACGAATGGGAGGAAAATGCGCATTCGGGCGTGAGCATCCAAAGTTACATACAAAATATAGTTCGGCACATTATAGATTGGAGAAAAATCGAAATGAACATCTGGAAAGAAAGCTTAAATATCGCATTTGCGAGGTAAGTTTCGATGGATCGTTTGTTTTGTTAGCTGCAATTTTTGCTAGAATGAACGAGCCGATAGCCAAATGGTGGTTTTACATTTACGAGTTAGTCGTGCAGTTTATTGATGATGACACTATCAGACAGGAGGAGTTGTTGGAAACTTTAAAAAAATTTGTGACTCAATCCAACCTCGCCGAGTTTTCGAATCGATTACAATTACTGTTGAATTTCCACTACTATGTAACACACAAAAAAAAGACTGCTAGATCAGGTTAGTACTTCCAAGGGTAATACGACACTGGATACACACCGTCTGTGTAAATTTTAAACGCTCAATTTTATCTTCAGAAAAAGTCCGCAAATGTTTTTACCACAATAGTATTTGCATTTACAGGCGCAGGTACAGGGACTATTATTTACACTATGATTTGACCAAACAATTACAGGGGAAAATTTTTTGGGGAAAAAAGTTTGCCTTTTGCTCCATTCTCCCCTATTGAACTTTGAATTTGGTTTGGAAGACACGAACTTGAAATTGAAAATTGAAAAATTATTGTTATTGTTTTATTTTCAGTACATAAATTTTGGAACGCATCACTGGAATTTTTGATGGTTAGTTTCCCTTTATCGTTGTGTGTAATACAAAACTTTATTTTATAGCAGAATCTTTTGAGAATTCTAAATTTAATTTAGAGACGTCAAAAATAGCAAGCTTAGGTTCTGCAGACGCAATCGTTTCCATAGAAACAGAATTGTCATATGTCATTAGAATGCACAATCATTTGTTTCACTTTATCTATCCACAGCCGTCTATAATTACAAGCCATGCTGAGAAGTTTGGCAACGTTGTTCGAAAGTCAATCGGTGGGCCGATTTAGTTTTAATGGCGTCTTGTTGCTCATGGAAAATGGCATTTTCCTCTCTCCTGTGTTTCGCCTTGGCGGTTTTATTATAGAAGAAAGATACTTAGGCAGCTTACAATTGTGCATACATATTATTTATTTACCAAAATGGATAATAACATTTTTATTTGACTTTAAAATTCGGAACGCTGTAAATTGGTAACTGCATCATAATGTGTTTTCCATCGAGATCTCCGAAATTGGTGAACTTCTGTCGAAACAGGTCGAGGTGAAGCACACGCTTGAGCACTTAATTTCGGTAAAAGGACAGTAAATTGCTGCGCATCAGCGAGGTTCTATCAACGACCAGGTGTGATTCGAAATGGCAGACTTTAAGCCAGCCGCTACTCCAGTGGGTGTAGGTACGAAGCTTTTAAAGAGAGGAGCCCTATAGACTTCAAATTCCCGTACCATGAACTCTTGGGAATAAGTTGAAAGGTTCCTTCAGAAAATCGATTTGACATGTCCGTGCTAGAATACCTGAAATACAAACTAATTGTACTTTTTCACGATAAACACTTACCGTACTTGCGTACCAGGTAGTGTGTAGGTCATATTTGAGCTTCTTACAGGTACAAATAAAAGTGCTTGTAAAGGGTCCAGTAAGGAGTAGCCTGCTTTAGAGGTTATGACAACAAATCGATATATTTCGTTTAGCAACTTACCTGAATAATAACTTCTGTTCATTTCGTACGGAGTAACACAAATTGTCGCAATCTCGCTCTGTTAAAACAGGTAAATTGTAATATTACACCCAAAACACATATAAAATACAGCCAAAATCTGTCAGGTTGAATTAGGAAATCGGCCCACCAAGCAGTGTTGCCATAATTCTCAGCACGGCTTGTAATTATAGACGGCTGTGATCTATCCTTACGGTTAAAGAACGGCGTAGCCTATACTATTAAACCCTATTAAAATGTCAATTTAACATACCTATGCTATAAAATAAAGATTTATCATATGTTTTGAGCGTTTGAATAGATTGAATTCATACGATTTTCTTTGTTGCAGTTGAAAAATATTTTTCAAATTTTCAAGAACTTGTTTGGTTTCGTTATTTTCATGTTTAGATTCCCGAGTATACAAAATTTCGTCGAGATCGGGATTTTTTTACGCTAACATTACAATCCAATCATCCAAGGGTATTTCCGAGAGTATCTCTTTACGAAATCGGAAACAGCACATCCAAAAAACCTAGGTAAAGCCATTAGTTTTTCATCTTCTACTCCCATTATGTGTTTTGGCCTCTATATCACGCATTTTTAGTGCACTTTTACTTTCACAAAATAAAAAGTGCTCTTTTGCGCTCTTGATGTCTGTCTGTCTGTCTCTCTGAGCTACAAACGCTACGGAACCACACCACTCAGAAATTAAAAATTATTTTATGTTTGTATTCAAGCGGCTTAATTTGTACATATTTAGGTACCAAACAGTGTAGCATATAAGACCCCTCGAATCATAATTTAATTCTTTTACCATAAAAGATATCAAATAAAATGTAGGGGGAAAACAAAACACAACAACAACAATTACCGTCGTCGTCATGTTTTTAAAATAGTTTTGGTGAGCAAATTAACGTTTTTTTCTAAATTCCACACCCCATATTTTACTCAAGAATTAGAAAACCCTCGAAGACAACTTTAACGGTTTCCTTTTCTACCCAAAACTTAACCGTTTTTCAAATTGTTTTCCAAAGAAACTAAATATCGCCGCGGCGGTTAAGTTTTGAACTGAAGCACAGGTTAAGGCCTCTTCCCTTTCACATAATTTTGTTGTCTTTCAAAAAAAGAAATTTCTTTAGATTTGTTTATCTCACGATGCTAAAAACTCAGTATTGAAACATTTTTTTTGACAGCACTACCAAAACTTTAACGAAATAAAAATAAACCCATAAAGAGCGTTTAAAAATGCGGCAGATCACCTCGATGTGACCCCACGGGGTCATTAGATTTTGACCCATTTTCAAAAGGCGTGTTCACGGACAGACGGACACCATCGACTTCCCTATAAAACTTGCAATCGCTTTGCTCTGCCGCTTAATAACTTGTTTTGCCGAAAAAAAATATTTTAGTTTTTTTTGTAATAAGACCTAGCGTAATTTTTGTAGGTTGTACACAGCAAAAAGGAAATCTTTCAAATAATTAATCAAAACGTTGCGTTGCTATTGGAAAAAGAAATTGTATGATATCACGGCGCTAAGAACTCAAATATAAAAAAAAGTTTGTTACATTCTTATACTACTTATGCCTTTATGCACTTTTGCAAAATTTTAACAAAATATAATATAATGTTTATATATTTCCGTGTTAAACACAATTAATAGCTTACTTTGTAAACCACATCTTATATGCATTAATGTCTTGTTTGTTGAGTTTTAAATGTGCTACTCCATTTTTTATTTCACTTTTTGTATGTATCATAACCGTCTAATTAAATATACTAACATTAAATAAATTAAAGGTTGAGTGGAAGAGCAGACACGGACAGGTTATCGCAATACCTACATAGCTCAAGCTAGAACCATAAAAATATGGTTTAACATGTTGTTTATTAGAAAAGTGTTGGGTAGATTTACAGCTACTAAACCTAAGGTAAAAATGATACACGAGCAAAGGGGTTAGCAAATTTAGCAACTTAAAATAATAATGATTGAAATGACGACCTTCCCGATGGTGCCATAACAGCAACCTGGACTCACTGGTTTTTTCAGTGGAAATTTTGTAATCCATAAACCGGAAAATTTTGGAGAAAAACCTGGGTTTTTCCGTTTTTTCTGGGGGTGGGGGCGTATAAGGAAAAATTGACGTTTTTGGGAAAAATTGGATGCCTATATCCAGTAATATACTGTGTTAGGTCCTTCCTTTACACTACTTTTGAACCCACAATTAAGATTCTGGACTTCAGAAACTAGGTCTCCACCAAGTTACAATAAAAAAAAATAGTCACACTCGCAAGGACACGTGCCCGCTACCGGCTCGTTCGATAAAAAAGTTTAACGGGACAAGGGACTTACTCTCTCACGTAGATGCCACGGTTATTTTCTAGGTCCCAAAGTTTCCAATTTTTCCGTTTTTTTTTTCTAAGAGACGAATCTTTCCGGAATTTTGAAACACTAATCCGGAACTATAATTTGTTTAAGGCACCCCTTTAAACAAATTCCGGATTAGTGTTTCAAAACTCCGGAAAGATTCGTCTTTGAAATTAAAATAATATACAGTGTGTCCCAGATCGCGTGGGATTGCATGGGTAAGTTTGTTATTATTAAAGATAGAGAATTGGTTAAATGAGCAATGTTTTGCAGTTTTGGATGCTTATTTAAAATTTCCTTATGGAAATTCAAAATGTCGCATAGGTTCGCCGTAAATTCAAAAAAACTAAAATTGGTCATTTCCTTGAATGTCTTATATCATCGAAAGTATAAGAGATATAAAAAAAAGTTTTATATAAAAGTGACTGTCTTTGATACGCTTAATTTAGAATTGATGTCAAAAAAAATTTAAGATGGCCACTTTTGAGGAACATTTACCAACTTCCTAAAGTTAAATGGGCGCCATATTGGATTTTTAGATTACTTGATAGATTTTTAAATTCTCTTTTCAACGAGCTATTATAACATAAGATTGAAAATAAGATACAAGTTATATTAACGGTTTTTGTATTTTAATCAAGTAGTCTGTGACGAATAAAAAAAAACAAAACAAAATCTATTCGAGGCAACAAAACAATGAAAATAATTACACCAGATGTTTAAAACACTGGCCATTATTAGTGAAACACACTTCAAGACAGTTTAGTTTAGGCAACGTGTTGCCATTGATGATTATTATTATTATTGTAGTGGTAGCTACTTCCAATTTACTTTTACTTTTTAATTAAGTACTTACTTTTATAATTTAATGTACTGTACATAATTCGTGAATTGTGACCTGAGCAGCCAGTTTGTTGGTAGGTAGCATAAAATAACCCTTCCTTCGAAACATACGTTGTCGAGAAAAATCCTTTAAGGAAGTTTATTGGAGAATTTGTAAATCATGGTGAGCAGTTAAAGATCCAACGAAGATTACCGGTCCAATTACATGACAATGGCCATTATGCCATAAAATACATTAATTAAAAAAAATATTACTTGATTTCGGCGTGAAATTACATGTAGGTTTTCCTGTGACGAGTATAGTGTTCATTATGTCGATTTGAACACTCCGCAGATAGAAAAATAAGATTCATCTGTCCGTATACTCGGGATGGTAAAACTGTTAGTTTCGATATTCTTGCGGATAAACCACCTACTGATCTACAAAATGTGACCTGGGACAATGCATCAATGGTAATACATTGTGTAAAATAAAGCAAAGTGTCTTGAAACGTGTTTAACTGGATAATGGCATGACATTTTTTTGAGGGAATAGTTTGTAGTTATACCACCATTTGTAGGTATGTAAGTAAATGGATAATAAGATAGTCAATAAGTGATGTTATAAAAATCAAAATTTTTCTAGGCCTACTTATATAAAATTTTGGAGGGATGCCCAAACCCACCTCTCATGAGTGCGCCCCTGATATTTTAAACATATGATGTAATTATTTTCATTGTTTTGCTGGCTCGAATAGATTTTGTTTTGTTTTTTTTTAATTGATCACAGCCTACTTGATTAAAATATAAAAACCGTTGATATAACTGGTATCTTATTTTCAATCTTATGTTATGATGGCTCGTTGAAAAGAGAATTAAAAAATCTATCAAGTAATCTAAAAATCCCATATAGCGCCTATTTAACTTTAGGAAGTTGGTAAATGTTCCTCAAAAGTGGCCATCTTGAATTTTTTTTTACATCAATTCTAAATTAAGCGTATCAAAGACAGTCACTTTTATATAAAACTTTTTTTTATATCTCTTATACTTTCGATGATATAAGACATTCAAGGAAATGACCAATTTTAGTTTTTTTGAATTTACGTCGAACCTATGCGACATTTTGAATTTCCAAATTTTAAATAAGCATCCAAAACTGCAAAACATTGCCCATTTAACCAATTCTCTATCTTTAATAATAACAAAGTTACCCATGCAATCCCACGCGATTTGGGACACACTGTATACTTCACATTTGGCGATGGTCAATCAAAAATTTTCTTTCATCAATAAAAAACTTGACAAAATCACTATACCGGGTGAAATATTCCCAAACTGAAAATGTTTTTTTGTAAATTGTTACTCCCCATGTTAATTATTGTAACACCAATCGAAAGAAGATTGTTTCTCATCGAATGATGTATGAATTAGTTGAATGAGTAGTATTTCTCATTATTTTATCAAAAATTTTGAAATAAATGCAATTACCAAAATCAGCCATATTTAGTAAGACAAATACCAGATTTAAACGTTATTCAATTCTTTACAAAATGTCCAATTGAGTCTTGGTTGATTGATTGCTCAATTTTTTATGAAATTATGAGAAATACGACTGAAAATGAACTAAGCCGCATATCATTAGATGAGAAAAAAACCTTCTTTCGATTGGTGCAATTATTAACAATCTGCAAAACACATTTTCCCAAGTTAATTGCCTATTTTCGGTTTTGTAATATTCACCAATCACCTGGTATGTGAAAGGGAACTTTTCAATTCCGGGGGATTCCATTAAAAAAAAACGGAAGTTTTGCGCCTACATTTTTTCCCGATATCTTTCATGGCGGGAGATGCTACACCCTGTATAAAGTACATGATATGTACAAGAACTATTTGCTTACTTACAACTTACAAGAAAAAACGAATTGAATTTGTTGTTTTAATTCAATGTAATTACAATTTAACATTCCATCTTCGATAAAAGTGCCTAATATTAAATATGTAAAGGAATGTTGAGTAGGTCATGGAAAAGATAATATAATTCATCTCTTGTGTCGAATACGTACGATTACGGCTTCATGGCAAATTTATTATTATTACTTATTATTATCCCCTCTCTAGTTCTGGGCCCTCAACAGGCTTGCGCCCAATTACAGAGTGACCCGCATACCTCTTTTTAGAGGTGCCTCTGCAGAAGGTCTTAAGTTGTTCTATACTACTCCTGTATTTACCTTACGAATTAGGTAAAGTGCAAGAAAACCTAATTCGGAGTAGCCAGTAGAATGCTCGGAATTGGTCTAAGGTAATTTCCATCTCTGCCACAGATGAAAAATTCACCTCAACCCAGGTTCGAACATCCGACCTCCAGATTTATAGTCCAACACTCTACCACTGAGCCATAAAGCCGGTAAATGCCCCCTTTATCTCCTTTATGGAACTAAACAAGCGGTTAACAACTTGTCCATTTACGGTGTCTATCTAGTGTAGTATTATCTTTGGTGTTTCTCAAGTTGATCCCGCTCCAAATAAATCTTTGCAGAAATTTTAATCGATCTTCTCTGGAATTTGTATCAATATTTCAAACAGTTTGAGGCAAATGTTGCAAGTAAAATAAAAGAGCTTCGTTCGCCGATTGAGAAGAAACTAAAGGATTACATCAAAATTGTAAAGTGGAAGGACATAAGCTATTGGGCGATTAAACAAACGGTGGAAAGAACCCACAAAACTCTTCACAAACATATTCGGGAGTTTGAGGTATGTGTCATACAAATTTGACTTTATTTACCAAGTGTTCTACAGAATATACTGAAGCAACCTGTCGCGGGATGCCTAACGTGGAAGCCTACCGAAAATAAAGTTGCAGATGAAGGTATCTGGGATAAGAAGGAGATTCCCGGTCACACCACCAACACTTACCTTGCAAAACTCACCATTTTTGAGGTATGATCTGGCTATTTTGAAACTAATCCACAGCGAGATCTTCCTTAGGTTCCGGAAGATACGGACGACGTCTTCAGAAGGGCGCCCACTTTCTTCAAAAGATCCCGAACTTTATGCAAGAGGGCGATATCGGCAGCGGATTATCCCAACTTAATACAAAGCTTGGACGACTTCGTGACGGATGTGATAACCTCGAGCGCGCATTTGCAAGGCTTAGAAATCGACACGACGTTACCGAAAGAGAAACAGAAGGCGCAGGCCAAAGGTATACTTTTGCAAAAACGTAAAGGCCTCGCGGACCTGTTCAAGGCGCTGACGGAAATCGGAGTGTCGTATCGCGCCGGCGTCGTTTACTCTAAATCGCGTAAGGAGATCGGGCAGTTTCTAATTAAACCGCTCGACATACACGCGAGCTTTTCTCACTTGCACGATGCGTAAGTCTGCATTGAACCGTTGTGTAGTAATAGTACGTTTAATTCGTTTCAGGTACGCCAACGATGACAAAATCTTGTCGATTTGGAGTGATTGCGAGTCCTACTATTACAAAAGCCTGTCCAAGCTAGATTCGTTACGAACTTTTTGTACTAATCCCGCTAAAGACTTGGGTCTGCAGAATTTGGAACGTTGCTCTGGGTTTTCTGAAGCTTTGATGGTAAGTTGTAATGTAGTTAGGTTGATCGTAGTAGTAGTAGTTCTCGCCTGCACCTACCTTTCTGTAATTGATGGCGCTTTGGTGTAGGTAAAATTTAACAAATGCAGAACTTTTTTTTGTATCATACCCAATTCAAAACACAAGAAAAAAGATTTTCTCCTTAAGGCGAGTAACTTTGGTGCACTTTCTATGCACAGATCGTACTTCGCGAAAGGCCATTATCTCAAAAGAATATTTTCATAAATAAGAAAATTGGAGCTGTGCATCGTTTGCCTTTGTTAGAAGCGTCTGTAGTTGAAATTTCAAAAAAATCTTGGTATTACCGAGAATATTTGATTTATACTATCATTGTATATGCACCTTACAGTACGGCCACGCAATGTTAAAATCACGCAACGCTTATTTGGAGGCCAGGAGATTAGTTCTGGCGGCCTACCAGAAAAGTACAAAATGAGCACTGCGATCGATCGATAAGGTAACTGTATAACAACAATAAAATGACAGAAACCTTTATCTAACTTCGTAAGCGATACGGCGACAAGGAATGGCACTAATTATTTAAAAAAAAAACTTAAGCAAATGAAACTTATAACCCAGGCCTCCATACATTTGAAATTTTCAAACTGGTTTGGTCAAGGATTGATTGGATTCATTTGAATTCAAATCATGGATTTCTGTAGGGACGTCCAATGGGTCCGTTCACTTAGGATCGCCCCCCCCCCTCTCCCGAGCCGCCTCCATTAGCCCAAAAAAGAACCAACTTTTTTTATCTACTGTGCCTCAATATTGTATTTATGCTAACGATTTGTGCCTTTCTGATTTCATAAATATTTCGAAAATTCAAATGGGGCTAAGTGGACGCTTGCCCCCCCCTATTGCATAATACTTCGATTGTGCTTAATTGTGTATGCTTATTTGTGTCTTTTTGGTTTGTTGATAATTGGAACAATCAAATGGGGGCTCAATGAACGCTGAGCCCCACACACACCCATGAATTTATTAATTTATCTTTTTGGTTTCGGAAACACTTCATACATTTTCCCCAAAATTCAACTTTTTTATGTGTAAACTCGTTCATAATATTTCACTCAAAATCCAATAATCAAAGTACCATACGATATATGGTTTAATTTTAGAAGGCTTATGACCGTTTGCACTGAAAAATTTAAGGGTGGCTTAGCCTAAGTGTAGCTTAAAATCCATGGCAACGATTATTGGGACAATGGTTGCCATGGAATTTAAGCTATGCTTAAGCTAAGCTCGGCCTAGATCTGTCGGTGCAAACGGCCATAAGTGGGGTAAGATCCACTTACCTGGTTCACCATGGTTCATGTGCCATCTTCAGTTTAATTACCTTACCTTACCAGTTTTTAAATTGGTTAGAAATTAAGTTAATAAATTTAGTTTTTTTAATTTCATTTTTTAATTATAATTGTTACTGGATATTGGACTCGAATTCATTGATAATATTCAAAAGGTTATAGCAGGCATGGGCAACCTTTTTTTCCAAGGGGCCAAAATAACATTTTTCATATGCGGCACGGATCACAGTTGAAAATCCAAATAAAAAATATGTTTAAAGAAATTATTAATTATCTATTTCTTTTTGGTCTTGACTTATTTTTTGCTTTCGTCAAAATCATTTTTTTTTTAAAACTAAGTACTCCTGAAAATTGACACGATTTTGCATACAAAAATTTACAAGACATGGATAAAAAATCCCCTTGCATCCAAATTTTTATTTATGCTCTTAACATTTGTTGCAATATATGGCTTAAAATTGTTTATTGCCGAATTTTTGATAAAATACTGAGAAATACAACTGAAAATGAACTAATTCGTATATCATTAGATGAGAAAAAAAATCTTCTTTCGATTGGTCATTATGAACCTTCTTAACATGGGGAGCAACGATCTGCCAAAAACGTTTTCCTCATGTTAATTGCCTATGTTCGATTTTGAAATATTCACCCGAGATATAGAGATATTTGGAAAGTACTTCTTTTTTTATGTAATATGTTATACCCTTAACCTCGCCCTTAACTTTAACGATTTCGCTCTTTTTTCCTCAAAATTTGACAGTTTTTCGAGTTTTTTTTTAGAAGAAACTTGAGTTGAGGCACAGATTAAGACCTCTTCCACCATCACTAATAATTTTTAGCTACTTTATAGAAAAAATTAAATTATTGATTGATCTCTGCCAAATGTCATATTTTTTTCATTTCAAATGGAACCGCCCTAAACAAATTATACCTCTGGATAGCCGAAACTACAAAATTTCTACTGATACAAACAAAATCGAAGCGCAAATTTGTAAAAAAACGTTCTTTTCCGTACCCAAGTCTGCCATGATGAAACAAAAGACTTTCAATTGTTACAATTAACAGGTAAAATGTCAGCAGTGTATGATTGTTTTTTAGTCTGAATAATTTATGCAATTGAGTCAGTGAAATTAATAATAATAATAATAATTTATGTGCATGTTATTGTGGCAAGGCACTTACATTTGTCTAAGGGCAGATGGAATACATTATAATAAGGTATATATAAATAACAAACACGATAAATATAAAGCATAACATAATTAAAACATTCACTACATACTAACACAACAAGAATTATAAACAAATATTACAAATATAGATAAAATAATTACATATACAGGTATAAAGATAAAACAAGATATATAGGTAGGTATTTACTTTAGACTAGATAGATATTTATCACAAAAAAACTCTTTAATGGAGTAGTAAGCTTTACTAACTAAAAATTCTTTTAATTTATTTATTTATTTATTTATTTTTTTTAAAGAAAAAAAGCTACCTATTTTAGGGCTTAGTAATATGATGTAAAAATTCGGAAATTTTAATTACGAAGAATTCTAAAAAATGAAAAAGATTTTCGCTTTAAAGCGAGTAACTTTGGCGCATTTTCCATGAATTGATCAGTAGTTCCTGAAAGGTCATGTACCGGATTATCTATGTGTACAAAGGAAAATAAGTTATAAATATGCGATATGTTTGCTTTTATTAGAAAAATAAAATAAGAAAGTTTACATTCTGCAGTTTGCGCACATCTGAATTTTCCAATATGCGATATGCTTGCCTTTACTAGAAGCATCTGTGGTTACTGTTTCAAAAAAATATCTCGATAAATATGAAAGTTGACATTGATGCGCACTTTAATCATCGAGGTTTTTCTTGGTGCCAAAGCGAATCGAACTAAATAGCTTGAAAACTGTAGCAGTAGTTAAGGCCCTAGACGGACGGACGGAGAAAGTGGCCATAATAGCGCCTTCCAACATTGGAAACGTTGGAAAATGCGCTAAAAATACAAAATATGTAAGTATCAGGGTTTTGTCTTTATTTTTTTTCTGAGGTTATTTGAAGAGAGATTAAGAAATGCACTTTTGCCACTTTTTTAGTACTGTATCTGAGAATCTATCCATCGCAGAGGCTTGCGGTAAAAAAATTATTACTAAAACGGCCACGAGCAAAATCTGGAAAATATTTTTAAGTTTTTGAAATGACCGCTAGGGGGCGTAACTTCAATCTGGAATCTAAAAAAGTGATGTTTCTGTGAATTCCGCTATATTAACCTAACAAAAAAATGTCCAGTCTTTGAAGTTGACGATAATCTGAACAATTTTTGTTTGACAATTTTTCCTGTATCTCTAAAAATGAAGTGGTGGGGGGTATTCAAAGGTTTCCGTAAAGAACACCCTGTATCTTCGAAACGGCTGAGCCGATTTAAACAAACTCGGGTTAGTTAAAAAGATCTATTCTTCAGCTACATATATTACACTATTTGAAGTTTTGTTAGTTTCACATATCACCGCTTGAGGGCTTTTTTCGACATTCCGACAGAAATGGTTAATTTTCTAAAAAAAATTAAATGCATTGGTTTGATTTTTTTTTTCTAAATGATGCCTAAACAAGCTCGCGAAAACAGCATTAAGTCGATCCACCTTAGGGCCACAAATTATATAATAAAAATAATTCCGGAAAAATTAGCTTAAAAAAATAAAATTTTGAGGGTATAAAATTTTCTTTGGCCTAAATTTTAGGTTAGGAACAAGATATCGAGATGCGGTTTTCGCGAGCTTGTTTAGGCATCATTTAGCTACTTTTTCTTGAAAAAAAAATCGAACCAACGCATTTAATTTTTTTGAGAAAATTAACCATTTGTCGAAAAAAGCCCTCAAACGGCGATATGTGAAACTAACAAAACTTCAAATATTATAATATTTGTAGCCGAAGAATAACTCTTTTCAATTAACCCGAGTTTGTTAAAATCGGCTCAGTCGTTTCGAAGATACAGGGTGTTCTTTACGGAAACCTTTGAATACTCCCCACCACTTCATTTTTTAGAGATACAGGAAAAATTTTCAAACAACAAAGGTTCAGATTATCGTCAACTTCAAAGACCGGACATTTTTTTGTTAGGTTAGTATAGCGAAATTCACAGAAACATCACTTTTTTAGATTCCAGATTGCAGTTACGCCCCCTAGCGGCCATTGCAGAAACTTAAAAAATATTTTCCAGGTTTTTCTCGTGGCCGTTTTAGTAATAAATTTTTTTTACCGCAAGCCTCTACGATGGACAGGTTCCCAGATATAGTACCTCGCATTCTTATTTGGCCACCCTGTACAGTACAATACAGATTAGTAACTTATGTACAATTTGCAATTTTTGCATCAAATAAAGTAGATCTTACATTTACAACAAGACGCGCCTACTTAACTTAATCGTATTTACAGATGAACCAGCACATACATAGATATCTTTCATTGTTTGATGTTCTGCGGCTGGATAGAGTATTTATTATCCTTTTCAGGGACGAATTGTTAAATTTAATTTTGTATCTTTGTTTTTCGAGGTACTACTTTTTTGTTTCACTATATATATACCTGGGGGGGGGGGGGGGAGACTACGTTTTAATTATTTATAAAAAGTGGTAGTGGTACATAAACAAAAATGACCCGCAATCTATTTTGATCATTAATTACATTCCTTGCCACTAAAAACTTTCAAAACCTGGAATCAAACATTACGTGTATTGGTAACATTGAATTAAAATACTAATAATAATGAAGAATAAATAGGGTCTGTATGCCTACAATGCAACTTTCTTGTAGCATACTTACGTCACCGGGGTCCCGTTCGCTTGGTGTACGTTAAACACTAACACAATGGCCCATATGAATAAAGGGGAGGTTATGATTATACTTGCAAAATTCAAAGTAAATACTCGTAAGTGCCCTTTCATACTGGGCTGCTTAGCAGCGCTGTAATGCGCCCCGCCCCTCTGCTTAGCAGCGTTGCTAAGTCGCCCAGTGTTAAGGGGCACTTACGAGTATTTCCTTTGAATTTTGCAAGTATAAGCATATGCTCCCTTTTATTCATATGGGCCATTGTGTACGTACCAAAAGAAAAAGATCGAATAGGCTGGTCTCAGATAGATATTGGATATGGTTTGCGTTTATGCTAAATTAATTTTGGTAGCGCTTTTTTATCGCCATCTATCTCTTTTTTAAGGCGTCGCACTTTTTGCTATGCCGTAGCCTTACTCTAAAGTGTATATACAATGATACTATATACAATATGTTTGTCTTTACCAGAAGCGTGTGTGGTAAAAGAAATGTTTCCATAAATATGAGTTGGCATTGGGCATTTTGCGCATGTGCACATCTAATTTTTACCTTTTTACGATATGCCTAGTAAAAATTTTAATGAAATTATTTCTGGAAGTAAAGAAAGTCTGCACATGCGCATATCTGATTTTGACTTTTTATGATTTGTTTAAATTCAGTTAAAATTTCAAAAAAAGTTTCTCAAAGTAAGAAAATTGATTGAGCAGTCTGTGCATGTATATTTGATTTTTACTATATACGGTATATTTTTTTGATTTTGATTAAAAATTCAAACAAATATCCCTGTAAATAAGAAAGATGACTTTGCGCGTGCGCAATTAATCGTCAAGATTTTTCTGGACTCAGACGGCAGAGCTATAAGCTACCAAATACAAAAAGAACGAACAAATTTTATCGAGAACTATAGAAGTAGACGGACAGAGAAAAACAATTGAGCATTGGGTTATCGAGTTATTCAACAAAATTTTTTGTGCTATTTTTATTGATGGATAGTTCAAAAATGCTCCGGTTGGTAATAGGCGTGGGTCTGGGTATAATGATTCGCAGACTTCTATTTTTTAATTTTCAGCAAACCACCCAACAACTTAAAACCTCGTTAGTGAACACATCAAGAACTTTCTACTATCTAAAACACTACTCTTCCTGCTTAGACAGGTACATTGAAAGTTTGCCGCTCACCTACCTACCGAAAGCTGTATACGAAAACATAGTTCAGTTATCCAAGAATATTATTGTGACCCTCGAGCAATTTAAAGTCGTCTTAGACACATGTCCGAGTCATGGTGTCGAGTTTGGAGACCTGCCTATTTTGAAACCTGCTCCCATAAACTTTCCCCAGTATAAAAATGACGAACAGTGGCTCAACTGTGCAGAGAAGATTGCCGCTGCCTTAAAAACATCCCAAGCGATTTCACGCTCTCTCTCACATGCCCTCCATTCCATACCAAGCACGCAATTTAAATGCGCTAAGAAGATACACATCGCGGTTCCATCAGACGAACTAATCGGCAATTTCGATAGTATCTCCCAGAATCTCAAAGATGTATGTCGCATTTTCAACGAAATTCCGCTGACAAACAGCCTGCATTGGCTCCAGTCGGAGATCGAATCAGCCAAATACGCAATGTGTCAAAAACCCGAACATACTGAAACAGTTGACACCAGCAAATTTAAGCAAATCGGTCGACGTTTGCTGCATAAATTGCTACTGGTTGTACAAGCAATTTATAAAAAGTGTGACGCGAAGAAAGCGCCAGAAGACAACTTCGCACTAAAGCCCGATCATTTAAAAACACTGATCTTAAACAATTTATCCGAGGACTTTGCGCTTCTTGATATGCCAACGGTTTTGAAACGTTTACATCGATTGGTAACGGAATTGAACTCGCTTTCCTCCACGATGAATTCGGAATGCAAGCAAATACTGTTGCAAATTAAACCGATTTTGGAACAAGTTTTGCTGCTTTACCAGTATTTCCTGACTCAACAAGTTTCCGCCTATCGAACCACTTGCAAGATGAATTCCATACTCTGCAATATTTTCACAGATCTAACCACAAAGGTAGGTGTCGCTCGCGCCACCACTGTTTGCTCATATAGATAATTGCAGGGATTTTGCGTGCCGCCCGAGTTTTCCGAGGAATTGAATTCTGAAGATGGCACCCAGCAGATGGGAGGCGGTTTGGGGCTCGGCGAAGGGGAAGGGGAACGAGATGTCTCCGATCGAATCGAATCTGAAGATCAACTGGAAGATGCCGAGCCTGCGGGTAAGGAGAAAGATCGAGATGAGGACAAGGACTGCAAGGAGGAGGAGAAGGGTATCGAAATGAGCGAGGACTTTGAATCCAAAATGCAGGTATGTCGTACAAATTTTCTGTAAGTGGTTTTTCAAGTTTTTCAAGGATATCGAACCGAATGACGAGAATGAAGATCAGAAATCGGAATCGGATGATGATGCCGACGAGCAAATGGGCGAAACTGGAAAGGAGGCGGATCAGTTGGACCAGGAGATATGGGGTTCGGATGATGAGGAGAACAATGACGAGGGTAACGTGATGTGGTGTTCTAAGAAATGTTAACAGAATCGATTTTAGATGCCGAGGATGACGAAGGTAATAGAGGTGAAAAGCAAGGGGAAGATCAGCTGGGCGCCAAGGAGAACGAGTCCGTTGAAACGGATGAGCCGGACGAAAAAGGAAGTAAGAAAGAAGAAAAGAAGGAGGAGATTAACGAATTGAAAGAGCCCGAGATTGACGACAATCAAATTGATCCGTATCATGGAAATCCTCCTAAATACCCGGAGCCTGAGGCTTTGGATTTGCCCGATGACTTGCAGGTTGATGACGACATGCAGGAGAACAATGAGAACCCCGATGAAGAAAATCCATTTGATATTGACACCATGAAAGGTTAGTGCAGCTCGTTTGTTCTTTGCAAATAATTTGTACTTTTAGAACAAGCCCCTCCTCCTCCGGAACCCGAACCGGAAGAAGCTCCAGAAATTACTCCCGATGAAACTAATGCTGATGGGGTAAGTGACGGCGAAGACGCAAATGACGAAAAAGATAAACCTGATGACGATGTGAAAGAGGACGAAGTTAAACAATCTGAAGAAGCGGAACCTCCACACAGAGACGAAGATCGAACAGACCCACAGTCGGTACTGGACGAAACGCAGACGAAAGATGAGGCTTCGCAGGCAATGGACGTTGATGATATCGCGGCCAGTGATAATGTGAAAGCGAATCCTGCCCAAAATCAAGAAAGCGTCGCACCGAATGAGGAGATCAATCAGGAGGACAATCCGGATAAGGAGGGTGTTGGGCAGTCTCGTATGGAGCAGTCGATGACCGGTCACAAGGGGCAAGCGATGGCCCAGGAAAGCATTTCTAGTAATCAGTCGGAGGAGGAGGAAATTGACATGAAACGTAAACCCGGCGAATCCGATTCTAAACGTAGTTTGGGAGACGTGAACGAGTCCGTCAAGAAAAAATTAAAAACCATAGATTTGCAAGAGAAAGATGAGGCGATGGACGAGGGCGAAGAACAACAGGAACAAAACGCCGAAATGTATAAACATATTCAAGACGCTACTAAAAGTGACGATCAGGTTTTCGATCAACTGTTTAGGTGTCACGTTTTTACGTGTTTTTTTAGGTTTTGGATATTGCTACGAAGGAACAGGCAGACGAGCAGAGGGATGTTTCTGATGCAAAGGAGAAAGAGAAGACAACTGAATCTGCAGCTATGGATGAAGAGGAGGATGTCGAAGTTAAGGAGGGCAAGAAACAGAAACCTGAAAAAGTCGAGTCGGATCAAAAAAAGAACAAAAACAAACAACATCCGGAAGGTAAGCAGTACCATCTGTTTAACTGCAAATATATTTTTGATTGAGAAGGTGAGAGGTGTAGATTTTAGAAAAAATATTTTCTTCTGGCAATTAGGGCTTCGCATGAACCTGATCTGACATTTGATCACAATAGCATTATAAAAAATATACGAAATTTCTGTCTGCTTCTATCACATGGAAAGAGGGCATGCGCACTCTCTTACAGCGATGCGTACACCACGAGCAGCTGTTACGCTGCGTTCCTCTCTTCACACTGAAAAGTATGGTTGTCGAAAGAAACGTGTACTATTCCATGTGAAAGAGAAGGACACAGCGTAACAGCTGCTCATGGTGTAGGCATCGAATGTAAGAAAGTAGCAAAGTACGCATGCGCTCTCTCTATGTGATGGAAACAGACCGAAACATTAATTAAGGGTAGTCTCGACTTAATTTTTTAGGCAACCCATTTGCAATGTATTTGCTTCCAAATTACGGTAAACAGATCTTATGTGGGATCTTGTAGTATAGTAGCTGACCAACAAATTTTGCTCACTGTAGATCAGTCACCCGTTTTGCTAACGAAAACCAGAGAGTCATGCATGGTATTGATTAATGATTGTGAAAAAAAACCCTTATTTTAAAATAAGCCTAAGAAACGGCACTAGATTTTATTATTTAATTTGAAACTGTTGCAACGTAGGTGAGATAATGGATAACCTTAACGATATCGAAATTGAGGGTGAACACATTTCCACTCTCACTGTACAACGAGGAGATGAAACTACGCATCACACTCGGTATACGTCCGGTGCAGGTGACAGTGTTCCGTTATCGGTCGTTGAAATGAATCAAATACGCACGGAAGTTGAACATCAATTTTCAGAATGGATTGAGGTAGGTTATCTGTGAATTTTAGCTCCTTACATTACTAGGAAGGAACTTGATCGCATTGCGATTATAGACTATTTAGTTGCTTTTGATGTCGCAATCATTTATTTATTTATTATCGTTCTCTTGTTCTAGGCCCTCAACAGGCTTGTGCCCAATTACAGAGTGACCCCCATAATGCGTTTTAGAGGTGCCCCTGCAGAAATTAAGTAAAATTCGTATAGATTCGTTTTAGATCGGTAAAGGCGTCAAGCAAGCGTGATATCCTTTGATTTATATTTATATTTTTCAAATTTTGTGCCGTTTTATATTTTTCCTGTGTGTGTCGATCTTCAAACCCAGCGCCATCTACTACCTTCTTATAATGAATGCAGTATAGAAAGGCAGTCTTCCTACACTACTTTTAGGTGTGCAGCCTCGTACAATTGTTTCAACTAAAGTCACTAAATATATTTAAATATAATTAGTGACTTTAGTTTCAACCACTGAAGGGAATGGTTGTTCTCACACGAGATAGTTAGGATGTCGCCCGAGTACCATGCTGGTCAAAAACCGTGGCTAGATGAATTTGTACCATATCTAGCGCTTAGTATACCCAGAGGATTATTGTTATCTATGTTTGCTACCTTGTTGGCAGCTTGTAGCTACTGCGCGGTACTCTAACCCTACTGACACCCGCTTTTGGTTGAGGCTGTTGTCGGTGGTTGGGCTGAATCATACTCTCTGCCTACCCGTTTGCCTACCTGACCGGGAGTTAGCTCTGGGAGCCTGCCTTGGTTTAGTTTGGGTCATGGGAGGTGGATGTTTTAGAGGTTGGCGCAGTTTAATCCATTTGATCCTGGCTTCTTTGCTGTTCAACACCAGAGACGCGCTTTCGTGGTTTGGTGTGCTGAGGTTCAGTGACCTGCACCAGAGTTTGAGGGGTATCCTGGGACGCTTTTTCTGGTTTATTAGGTTTGTTTGTGTCAGTATCCATGTCAGGCCCGTGAAATTTCGTCCTTCCAGCTCTCCATCCCCCACGGAGCCCAACAAGGGGACGTCTATCCAGACGCCAGGGCTACCAGGAGAGTATACCTTTTATAGGGTAGCATAAAACAGTCCTGGTTTCGCTTCGACGTAGGTCATTCGAGAACGGCCTACCTTATGCTAGTCAGTCTGCTGCCACTAACCCTCCAAATGCGACACAGCCGATCGATCATGGTGGGTTCGCCATGACCCCCCCCCCGTTTTGCGAAATTCTGGCCAAAGTAGTGTGTTATGGCCACTTCAGGTAACTCCACTACCAGCATCCGTTCATCTGCTATTACGGGTCGCCTTGCGACGAACTTGGGCCGCTTAGTCGATGAGGTTGAGGAATTAAAAGCAATTAGTAAAATTATTATTGGAATTTATTTAATTAAATACGAGTATGATACACAGTGTATTGCAATTGATCAAGCGGTAGTTGTCGGTAGAAAACCGTGGTGCAGGGAACGAACAGACGAACGGACACGAACGCCACCAGACGAAAATGTCGCACCTGGACGAGGTCGGAGGTAGTCTCAATCGGAGATGTTAACTCCAGGAATTGTACGGTCAGGGCCAGCAAATTGAGGCGGTCACTTCGGTAACCCCAAAACAAAGGTACATCCCAACCGACAAATTTCCTAGCGAAAGAAAAGTAATTTGACACAATTAAAGTAGCGGTTTCTATGGCACAATTTCGGAAAAACGTATGGAAAAAAATAATATTCCCTCTCCCTCCCCCCATGTAATAAAAAAAAACGGTTTACCTTGAGAAATTAATGCAGCGGTAGAAAAAAATTGAAAATGTAAAAAATGACTGTAAAAAAGCAAAACGGCAAAAGGATCGATACGGTACGGTTGCAAATATAATCGGCAGTAGACGTAACTTACGGCAATCAAAAAGGCAAAAGATTTACTTGCTTGCGGTCAGTAAAACAAGCAAAAGATTCCCCACAAAATCAAGCGTTTACCTTATAAAGAAATCAGAATTTTGTGGAGATGGAACATGGAAAATCCAACTAGTCGCGTATTCAATACGAAATCGAAACAAGTCAATTCGATTTTTAATTAATTACTCGGCTCCTGTTCGTGCTAAAATTCCAGGACCTATGGCGATCACTTCGTTAATTAAGCGCGAACAATTTGACACCACAATCTTTTTACTGTAACTCATTTAATTAGTGAATGTTAATTATACATATTTAAAAGGCTGAATGGGCGGAATTACATTAATTGCAAGTCACAGAGTCGGCTGGCGCTTATTTAATTTTTGCAGATACGCCGCCCGGGGGGGGGGGGGGGGAACTAGTTTTATCCTTCAAAGGTCTCAACGAAAGGAATTAATTTCTACCAACTATAGCCCTCCTCCTCGACCTTTTTTCGTGGTCGGGTATATTCCCTTATACCTCAGGAACGGATTGTCGGAAGAGGGTACTCACAAAGGGTGATTGAGGCGTCTGCAAGAAATATATCAATTGGTGATGTCAAAACAAAAGCTATTTCGGTTTAAAAAAAGGCGCTTTATCTGCACATGGTTGTGCACAATTTATACTTCTTTGTATTTTGTAATGTAGAAACAAACTGTAGGTTCCCTGGTATCCAGAGTTCGTTTATTGGTGACCGAATCTTCGGCGCTTCGGCCTTAAGTTTAGGTTTTTTTTTACTGAGCTTGTCCCCTTTTGGTCTGGGCGATTTAGTCAAGACTCCCTACACTTCTAAGTTCGCGAGATGTGACCACAGTCAACTTGAAGATGTATGGTTTCTCGTCATAGCTGGTTTATTAAAGACCAGTATCCAGACGGCGCAGGTCCTTAGTCACAACAGGAGAGCAGGGCGGAGATGTAGTAATAGATATGACCAACAGTTCTTTCAGAAGCTGCGAGCATCTCATTCTATGCATTAACCTGGACGTCACATGTGAACAAATGCCTGAATCATTCTCCTATCCACCACCTGGGGACGCGCTCAATAAACCCCGCCCCGCACTTCGGGGGGCATATTACCACCCGCACTTCGGTAAGGAAGGTATTGCATTGGGGTAAAAAATGCCCCCCTCCCTTTCTTGACGGAAATACGTGTTTTGAAGCACCAGGAATCCGAATCAAACAAAATCTTGATGATGTCGGTATGTTGGTCATACTCACTTCCGGCTAAACGGCTGAACCGATTGGAACCAAATTTGGTGCACATACTCTTAGACTTAAAAGGGCAGAATCGCCCACGGCACATTTTTTTCTTAGCGATTCAATCCGGATAATTTGGGTGGTACCAAACTAAAATAAAGAAGTTTAGAGGGGGGTGGGGGGTCTGGATCGTACTAGGATTGCATATATTTCCCGCTCATCTAAATCTTACATTTGCGATATCAAAGTTCCTAAAGACCTGATAACTCTAACATTGACTGAGAGTAATGAATGGGGGTGGAAGGGGGCAAGTCTAATGTAGTTTACTGCTTTCAGCCGCCTTCGAACGTCGAAGCCGAACACGCCTGGAAGAAGATAACATCGGTAACGTCGTCGTTAGCACAGAACTTATCGGAACAGCTTCGTCTGGTTCTCGAGCCTACGCAAACGTCGCGTCTGAAAGGCGATTACCGGACCGGTCGGCGTATTAACATGCGTAAGGTGATCCCGTACATCGCGTCACAATTTCGCAAGGACAAAATCTGGTTGAGACGGACGAAACCGTCGAAAAGGGAGTATAAGATCGTGCTGGCGATCGACGACTCCTCCAGTATGTCCGACAACCACTCGAAGGAGTTGGCTTTCGAGAGCGTGTCGTTAATCTCGAAGGCTCTGACGTTACTGGAAAGCGGGCAGCTGTCGGTGTTGAGCTTCGGCGAGACAACACGAGTGTTGCACAAGTTAGTGGATACTTTCACCGAGAAGAGTGGCGCGAATATATTGCAAAATTTCCAATTTTTACAACAAAAAACGTGCGTGGGGAAATTGGTGGACTTCGCAACCGAGATGCTCAATTCGGCACAGGGTGCTAGCAGCGCGTTGATTGCAAAGTTATTAATTATTGTTAGTGACGGGCGAGGGATTTTTTCCGAAGGTGAAACCTACGTAAATCAAGCCGTTCGTCGAGCTAAATTGTCGAACATTTTTATGGTTTTTGTTATTGTTGATAATCCCAATAGCAAAAGTTCCATTTTGGACATTCGTATGCCTATTTTTAAAGATGGAAAATTGCTACGTATAGAATCTTACATGGACTCCTTTCCGTTTCCATTTTATATTATTTTGAGAAACATTAATTCATTGCCTAACGTTTTAAGTGACGCATTGAGACAGTGGTTCGAAGTTGTTTCAAATATTGATAAGCAGTGAAATAAATATGTTGTTAATGCTTCTTAAAAATAGAATATGTTACCAAAAAAAACAGCGTAATAATTTATTTGCTTATTGAGGTCATTTATTTGGGTCGTCGATGGTAATCAGGTAGAGCAAATTGTGTACTGACAGTTGGGGGGTGTCATTGGTGACAATTAGCGTTTTATTGATTTATTTAGCCTATATTTTTCCATTGAATATAATGAACCCTTACCCAACATTGATTTTCTAGTGCATTGCATGTCTGGGCCCCACTTGTTCTTAGAAACAATCAATATTGTTATTTCCTTTACTACGAAATAGCAAACAAATTTGTCATTTTGTTGTGTAACTCGCGCCCGTCTAGTACCTAGTGAATATGTGAGAAATAACAAACGAAATGGAGAATAGTGGAAAAACAAATGCATTGGCTTCAACGAAAGTAACATCGCCATTTTATGAACCGCCGCCAAGGAAGACCAGTGCGGATATTATTAATGAAGCGAAAGCGGCAATTAAAGGTGAGACTCGCTCGATTTTTGAAAGATCTTAACTGTCTTTGCTATAGATTCCCAAATGGTCGACAATTCTTTTGCGTCTGCTTCCATTAAACCATTGCAAACTCAACGACCGTTCACTCCGCGCGAAAAGGAAAGGATTTTGTTTGGGCATAAGAGAAAGTCAAATAGGCCTCCTAGCTCTTTCAGGTAAGAAGTTTATCGTACCAAGAGAAAGGTTCAAAGACCTTAAGATAAATGAGTTGCACTCAGCACCTAATCAATATTTTTAATTTGGTGTATTCATAATACTCTTTTTTGCATAATTTTTGTAGTTCATTAGGAGTCAACTTAGTTAAAATGAATTGCGCAATTACGAATTTTGATGGGAAATAAACTGTCTGAGTGATGAGTGTCAGTTTGTGTCTTTTGAGGCATTTAATATGAAAATAATTGACTCATTTATCAAACAAAACATGCAGCTATCTCTAAGATCATTTATAGGTGTAGAAATCACTATGTTTTCTATCTATTAAGATGAGAAAACTAGGTAATAAATTTTGTCGAAGTTCTTTCATAAATTTTTAATAACAACTTAGCAAAACTCTATTTCAATTTTTTTTAAAAATAAAAATCAAACATGTTTTAAACTGATGAAGGTGACTGTGACGTACTTTTTCGATCAGACTTCTCAATCAAACGTTATAGACTAGAAACCAATTTCGAAAAAAATTCAAAGGGCTGTAACTTTTGAACTAGTAGCCCAATCTTGGAACTGTTTGAAATTATGGATTCTACAGGCCACATTCTATAAAAAAAATTTTTTTCCGGGTCGATCTGAGACAATTTTTTTTTCGGAGCTCAAAAAAGGCAGTGTATAAACCTTCCTTTTTTACCAAAAATCGACTGCACCAAAATTTCTCGGGAAAACACTTTTTCTTATTAATTTTGGTGCGTAGAATCCAAAACAATTCGTACTTTTTTGATTAGACTTCTCAATCAAAAGTTATAGACTAGAAACCAATTTCGAAAGAAAATTCAAAGGGCTGTAACTTTTGAACTAGTGGCCCAATCTTGGAACTGTTTGAAATTATGGATTCTACAGGCCACATTCTATAAGAAAATTTTTTTTCCGGGTCGATCTGAGACAATTTCTTTTTCGGCGCTCAAAAAAAGGCAATGTATAACCTTCCTTTTTTACCAAAAATCGACTGCACCAAAATTTCTCGGGAAAACACTTTTTCTTATTAATTTTGGTGCGTAGAATCCAAAACATTTCGTACTTTTTCGATCAGACTTCTCAATCAAAAGTTATAGACTAGAAACCAATTTCGAAAAAAAATTCAAAGGGCTCTAACTTTTGAACTAGTAGCACTCTTCTCAAAAAATTGAAAATTGTATTTTTAGGAAAAATGTGTTACTGAACCACTATGTGTGATATATTGTTGTAAAGAGAAAAAAAGACGTAATCTCAAAATGTGAAAATTCAAAATGGCGCCCATAAGAAAAACTAAAGTTTCCACGTGTTTCTCCGTCATCTTGAAAGTTATTAAAAACAGGATGCCATATTTGAAATCTCCATTAAAAAGTGTCCGAATAATGTGTTAATTAGAAATGTCTACTACGATTAGTTTATCATAAAAAAATTAAAAACGAAAATCAGATTCTTATTCGGCACGAAAATTGGCAACTTTGCCCCCATTTAACCAACTTTCTACCTCTTAAGATAAGTGAGATCCCCATAGTGGCACTCGAAAAATGGACACCGTGTATAAGTGGTGTCATAACTGTCAAAATTTGTCTAGGCCCATGAGTGTGGCCCTGATATTTTCAACATTTGATGTAATTATTTTCATTTTGCTTCGAATAGATTTTGTTTTGTTTTTTTTTAATTCATCACAGCCTACTTGATTGAAATATAAAAGCCGTTGATATAACTGGTATCTTATTTTCAATCCTATGCTATGATAGCTCGTTGAAAAGAGAATTAAAAAATCTATCAAGTAATCTAAAACTCCAATATGGCACCTATTTAACTTTAGGAAACTTTAGGTAAATGTTCCTCGAAAGTAGCCATCTTGAATTATTTTTAACATCAATTCTAAATTAAACGCATCAAAGATAGTCACTTTTATATAAAACTTTTTTTAATATCTCTTTCGATGATATGAGAATTTCAAGGAAATTACCAATTTTAGTTTTTTTGAATTTACGTCGAACCTATTCGACATTTTGAATTTCCACAAGTAAATTTTAAATAAGCATCTAAAACTGCAAAACATTGTCCATTTAACCAGTTCTCTATCTTTAATAATAAGAAAGTTACCCATGCAATCCCACGCGATCTGGGACGCACTGTATATACACCACGGTAGAGAAGTCCTGCACACCTTACACTCCTCGGCGCAAGCGCATCGGGATGTAATCTTGGTGCTCAGGCAATAATACTGGACTTCTCTGCCTTGGCATATAATGTACTATTAAATACTTCCTTCAAACTTGCAAATAAGAATCCCCATCTCACTGCACTATATTGCCCATATTATCAAATTAAAAAGAAAGTTGACTTATGTTCATTTTTAGTTTGAGATATCTACAGGAGACCGACTTTAACACAAACACAATAGCTGACAATGCAGACAGTGAAAACAATACAATCTGCACCATTGATAAAGATGCCCAAATTACGAAGAAACAAAACGCATTTAAAACACAGAGATCAAACTCGCTATCGAAAATAGGGGACGGCAAAATTTTCGATGTAGGATGCCACAAAATCAAACTACCAGCTCTCGATGCGCTAAAAGTGGTACAAAAAAAGGGAATACACAAAAATACATTTTCGTTGGACAATCGTGAGTATAATTCCACTTACGCCCCCCCCCCCCCACCTCTCACAGTTCATTTCTAACGTTCTTCTCCCGAACAGTACCCGAGGAGTATGAAGAATCCGTCGAGCCGCCCGTGGTTAACCGAAACGCGTTCAGCTCCCCACAGGAGCGGACCGATTTCAACGAGAACTCCCCTTTCGGTCGACCGTCGCAACAACAGAATAACCTGTCCCAGTGCCTTTTGCTGGGCGTCGAAAATTTAAATAAACTGTTTGAGAATAAACAAATTGTAGAAAATTCTGAAACACTCTTTGTAAAAACAGGTTATTTAAATAATGTAACGCGAACAGAAAATGAAAAGTCGTCTCTAGATGTTTACAAAGAGAGAACGATGGAGAACATAATCGAAACGTTATCTAAACACCATAAGAACGTGAAGGACGAGGTAATAGTGCAATCGTTGCGCGATTTATACGATTGCATGGAGCAAAAGAAGTTTCTTTCGACTTCCGTCGATTCGAAGACAAAGATTTGTATTTTGAAGTGTCTGTACAGGTTTGTCGAGTCGCCGAACGAGCAGCTCCTGTTAAATATTGCGAGGATTATTTTGGCAGTAAGTCCTGCAATAACATCGAATATGGCAGCTATTGTCTTTTGTTTTAGTTGAAGGTCACCGGCAATAATCTAAGTGGCGTCTGCAAGTTGATATTTAAAGTCTCCAAGAATGACAAAAACGACTCCCTGTTTCTAGAAGGAAATATTCTGGGTAAATCAACAAAGAGCTGTTTCGTTTGTAATATTTGTTTTAGATTTGTTTGTCGACGCGTTGGGACGCTCTAGCCCTCTCGACGACGGAGAGGCGTGCGTGTACGGTTACGGATCTGTCAAGTTTTTAACGATGAATTCAAAGCTACTCAAAAAGATTTTGGATCTGGGCATACTGCAGCTGATGGTCCTCCATATCAAGATTATTAATAACGCCGTGAGTATAAGACAACGCGAGAAAATTGTGAGGCTAATTCTCCGTTATAGAGACAGGAAAAGGTGCACATTCCCGAACACACCGAGCATGCGCTGTTTCAATTGACGGGTGGCCTAAGGAACTTGGCCGCCGATGAGAGTGTCTATGACGAGTTTATATCGACCGATACCGTATTCCAGCTCTGCACCACTTTGGAGTTGTTCTCATCCAACTTGGATATCGTCAGCAACATTTCGAGAACGTTAAGGTTGTATATTTAAGCGCGCGTAGCGATGACTAACTACATCTCGCAATTTACAGCACAATTTCGATGAACGACAATTGCTGCGATAAAATTGGAGAGTTTGCCGAAATATCGAAAATATTTGTCAAGTTATTCGAAAAATATCCGGGGAACGAGGAAATTATTGTAAGGTTGGCGTACACCTTGGGGAATGTACTTGCCAAATTGGACAGTTCGCGTATTAGATTCTTTCACGAGAAGAACTCAATTTCTTCTCTAATTAGCTTGTGGAAGATATATTTTGAGCGGACGCTGAAAAATTGCTCGTTAAAATTCGATACTGAATGGGAGTCGACAAGCAACACTGAAGATGTCATGATAAAGGTAAAGTGGTGGGTGGGTATGTGGGCCACATTAGTGCCATAATATTAAAAATAGGGCGGGGATAAGAATTCTTGCAAGACACAGTCTCACAGTGCGGCGGAAGGCCGCAATGGCGCACTTGTACATATTTTATTAAAGTCACTAAATGTAGAAAGGACCGCAATCCATTGGGCTCGTGTGTTAGAGAGAGAACGCATGATTTTTGCCCAAAAATGGCGGAAGTTGTTTGGAGATATGGTATATATACATTGAACTATATACTCTGTAACTGGAACGGCATCGCCCGTAATCAGCCATTGCCAGGGGCCGTGGCGAATTTTTGTGAGAGAGAGATGGGTAGAGGTAGGTATCCCTTACCTTGTTCCACTCATGTGGGCTTATGGGATGGTTTATACTACGTCTTACATTTTGCTTATTTTTGTCTAAAATAAGTTATTAAGAGATTTGCAAAAATGGTCATGAATTATGTTGCATATACGTGCAATCATTTTTATAATAAAAATTCAAATATTCAATTTCATGGGTACGTTTTGATAACATTTTTTAACCTCGACGCGCGCATTTAATATTTTTGCGTATGACGGCATTTGCACCGCTCAGATTTCTTTACTAATGTACCTCACACTCATTTATACTGTCCTTATGAATGATAATTCTTCTTTCCCACTCTTTAATACTAATTCAATAGGGCATTCCACTCGCTAGAGAGCATCATATGAAGAAAAGCGTTAACGCCGCCAAAACCTATAAAGCCGTTTTGACTTACTAATTTGAATATGAAGTTCCTTATTATTTAATTTTCCACTCAACGTTATTATTGATACTGCTCACTAATGGGGCGAAAAATACCTTTAAGGATTGATTTTTTTATTTATTGCCGATTCCTTCGGCCTACAATGAACTGTACATTAGGAAGCGTCAAAGTGTAAAGATAAAATATAAAAGCATACACATATCGCACAGGTATATCACAAAAGTTAAGAGTAGAAAATATCACGGTTTGCATTTTCTACATCCATATCCATCCACATATGATACTGCCGATGGCACCACCACCACGTACAACTGGTGTATTTGGTAGTTACGTTGGCGGTGTGAAGGTATAGTTCCGAAAACAAAGGATCCATCGGGCTGTTGGAAAAATTCCAGTCTCGTACGAGAAACAAAGGTTCCATAAGACCAGCATAAGACATTCATATCAATTCGTTTCCATCTAATGGCAATGCGGTGACCACTACGAGTAAATTGATTCCTAAACTCATTTTATTCTAAAAAAAGTGCTTTTTTTAAATTTACGTTTACCTCGACGCCGTAAAGGGTACGTTACAAACGAACACAACCAATGTTTATAACTTTATTTTACGTTAATAAGCAAATGGAATGCGTCGAGCCACCATGAATGACATTAGTTGACATTATACTTGTAACTTCAAGAATCAAGTATGTGAGTGTGTGAGTGAGAAATGGCGCAGTTTACCACATTATTAAGTATTTTAAGATATTCCATTAACAAATAGATATTGGCACTTGTAAAAGCATCGACAAGCATTTATCTTTATCTTTCTAAGGCCCCAACCTCCCAGTTTATTTACTTATCTGTATTTTTAACCAAATACGTGTGATCGCTCCTGCATATGCAATACAAAACAACGTGCCAGACAAGGATGAGAATACCTACGTTATGCTGGTTGCCTAAAATAATTGCGGCACGCGATTTTGGCGCTCGATGCCGTTCCAGTTACAGAGTATATAGTTCAATGTATATATATTTATATAAAACATGACAGTACTATGAAGTTAGGTTATAAAAAATGACAGCTATTCAGATTTTATTTCTCAATTTTTTTAAGTTGGCAGCAAATTTGCCCAAAAATGGCGGATGATTGCGGTACTTTCTATATCTAGTGACTATATTTTATTTAGGAGTTAGTACGTGGCGACATCTCAACTAAACTTGCTAAACTATAATATAAAAGAAAGTGTATTGATTAACAAAGAGATGGCGCAATTGTACCTATTTTAACCGATTTAAACTAATTATTCAAAAAC